CCCCGCAGGGTCCCCGCGCTCCCCGTGAAGAACTTGAACGGCACTGGGCCCGTCCACCCGGCCCTGGCAGGTGCGGTCCAGCCCGGGAGCGGAAAGAAGGGCGGGGCCCACGGGAGGCAGCCCCGCCCCTCGCCCGTGACTCCGCCCCTTGGGTGGTGCGAGGGGGCGGGGCCCGGAGGGAACGCCCCCTACTATTGGGCCGAGGACGCGGGGTGGGCGGGGCCCGCAGAAGGCACCCCACTGGCTTCAACCGGGTGGGCACCCACCTGAGGCGCCAGGATTCCCGGGATGGCCAGGTGGCGGGTTCCGGGAAGGCACCCCGCCCCTACATCCCCTTTCACAGACTGCGGGGGGGGGGGGGGGGGGGGGGGGGGGGGGGGGGGGGGGGGGGGGGGGGGGGGGCGGGGCCGACTGCGAGTGGGCGGGGCCTGTGGCGCCCCGCCCCCTGGCAGCCTCCGCCCCCCAGGCATGACCGGGATCCTGCTCTGCGCGGCCGGGCTGCCCGTGTGCCTGACGCGGGCCCCCAAGCCCATCCTGCACCCGCCGCCCGTGAGCAAGAGCGACGTCAAGCCGGTGCCCGGCGTGCCCGGCGTGTGCCGCAAGACCAAGAAGAAGCACCTCAAGAAAAGTACGCCTTCCACCCCCGCCCTGACCCCTGACCCGACCCCCCCAGCCCTGACCTCATTCCTCGGACCTCTGGACTACGCTTGTTCTTGGGACCTGCGGCCTCCCCGCCATCTCCTGATCTCAGCTCCCCTTCCCCATGCCCACCCTTCTCTGAACTGTCACATCCAGGGCCCTGCCCCCAGCCCTCCGACCCCTGACCCCGTCCTACGCCACGCCCTCGGGGGTAGCCTCTGGGTGCCCTCACACCCACCCCTGTGTCCCTGCAGGTAAGAACCCCGAGGACGTGGTTCGAAGGTACATGCAGAAGGTGAAAAACCCCCCTGACGAGGTGAGCGAGGCGAGGTGCAGGCCTGGGCGGGCGGGCCCGTGTCCCCCGTGGAGCCTCAGCTGTCCCCCGGCTCTGCGCCTCGAGACCTCTCCTCCGGGTACGAGGACGCTGATGAACAGAAATGCTTAAGTTCCACAGAGCCGCACTGGTCAGTCTTCTGACGCTTGGGTGTTGGTGTGTTGTCACCGTCTTTTCCACTCGGTGCTTTCAAGTTTCGCTTTCGACGGTTAAGCCTTTAGTCCACCTGGGGGGTGTGAGGGAGGGAGCCTCCTCCCCTCTGTGATGTGTCGGAATCCGGTGTGTGGGAGGGGGCGTCCTCCGTCCCTTTGTCACACGGGTGCCGGGGGCCCATGGGCCTGGCGCCCACCAAGGGGCAGTGCCGACCCAGGAGGTGCCCTGCCCTCCCCCGTCCTCAGTGTCCCCGTACCCTGCCCCAGGACTGCACCATCTGCATGGAGCGGCTGGTCACGGCATCGGGCTACGAGGGTGTGCTGCGGCACAAGGGCGTGCGGCCGGAGCTCGTGGGCCGCCTGGGCCGCTGCGGCCACATGTACCACCTGCTGTGCCTCGTGGCCATGTACTCCAATGGCAACAAGGTGGGTCGGCCGGGGCAGCGGGTGGGGAGCGGGCGGGGGCGGGGCGGGGGCAGGACGCCTGGGGACTCACTGCCAGCCCCCTCGCCCCAGGATGGCAGCCTGCAGTGCCCCACCTGCAAGGCCATCTACGGGGAGAAGACGGGGACGCAGCCACCGGGGAAGATGGAGTTCCACCTCATCCCGCACTCGCTGCCCGGCTACGCCGACACCCAGACCATCCGCATTGTCTACGACATCCCCACCGGCATCCAGGTGAGCCCCTGCCGGCCCCCGATCCCCGACCCTCACTCCTCCTCTCTGACTCCCCCAGAACCCACCACCACCTGCTCCTGGTTTGAACCCCCACTGTCCCCCGCCCACAGGGCCCTGAGCACCCCAACCCGGGGAAGAAGTTCACCGCAAGAGGCTTCCCGCGCCACTGCTATCTGCCCAACAACGAGAAGGGCCGGAAGGTGGGTGCCCGGTCGGGGACCCCAGCTGCCATCAGCCTGGGCCTGGGGTCCCGTTCTCCCCAGCCCCTGCTCTGTGTTCCTCCCCCACCAGCACCCAGACGGCCTTGACCGTGGCCCCTGCTTCACACGCTCATCTCATCCACCAGCCCGCGGAGGGCAAGGTCCCCACCCCATTTTGCAGATCTAGAAACGAAGCTTCAGAGAGGGCAGTCCCTTGCCCATGGCCACACAGGGACTAACTGCGGGTTGTCTGAGGTGACTTCTTGCTTTGCAAAAGAAGCCAGAGGTTCAGGTCTTCAGGCTTTTGAATCTCGGCGACTAATTTGCGAGTGGCCGTTTGGTACGGCGTGGGGTCGGAACCGAAGGCAGCAGAGGGCCACCGGTTGGAGACACTTCCCTCACCCAGAAAAGACAGGCATGGATGACGTGGACAGACTTTTACTGAGTGCCAGTGTGGCAGGACAGGGTGGGAGGCTGAGGCAGGCAGGCCCCAGGCACGGGGGGGTGGCGGCGGGGCAGGGCTGGGCCGGCCTGTGACCTCCGCCCCGCCGCCGTGCAGGTGCTGCGGCTGCTCATAACGGCCTGGGAGCGGAGGCTCATCTTCACCGTGGGCACGTCCAACACCACGGGCGAGTCGGACACCGTGGTCTGGAACGAAATCCACCACAAGACCGAGTTTGGGTCCAACCTCACGGGCCACGGCTACCCAGACGCCGGCTACCTGGACAGCGTGCTGGCGGAGCTCGCGGCCCAGGGCGTGTCCGAGGCCACCGCCAAGGCCTGAGGCCGGGGCTGCCGCCTCCCTCCTGCTTTGCCCCGGCCCGGCACACACCGCCTTCTGCCGGGCGCGTCCTGGGGGCCCAGGTTCAGGGCTGGGAAGGAGCCTGAGGAAGGAGCCGGAGCCGCTCCGGGGATTTGGCCGGTGGCAGTTGGGATGATGGGAGATGTCGCCTCAGGCCAGCCGGCTCCGACCCGTAGCTCTGAGAGGGCCGCAGAGAGAGGACCGGAAGCCACAGGGACTTCCCTGCCAAAAAGACAGAGACCCACCCCCGCACACACAAACACACGTGTCCTGTTGAACACACGCACGCACGCACACCCACGTGCCTCTACTTGTCCCCAAGCTGGGGGAGAAGGGACAGAAGGCCCCGCGATGCCCCATGTGGCCCCCACGTGTGTCTCACATCTGTACAGGCTTGTCTGCAAACAGGACTCGTGTCTGGCCCTTGGGACCTGCCAGGGCTCCTGGGGGAAAGCGGGACCGGGAAGCTCGGTCCCCCCACGCCTCGCCCGCCCCATGCCATCGCCCATCTCTGCCACCCACCAGCTGGGCAACCGCGGGCCTTTGGCGTAGAAGCCCCCAGATGACCGAGCGGTTACAAGAGGATGGCCAGGGCACGCGGGGACTGGAGGGGTCTTATTCTGTGCTGTGTCTCTTCATCCTGCTGGGACCCTGACCTCCTCCTCCTCCTCCCAACCCCAGGCCTGTGTCTGTCCCAGATAAAGGCCCTGCTCCCTTTCCTCCCCCCCTGCCCCATCCTCCCCACCAAATCGCCCCGACTTTGAGATCCAAAGGCTGGAGCTTCCGGCTCCAGGAGCCAGGGGAGGCGGCCCCTCCCAGGCCGGTGCGTGGACAAGGCACAGCCCGCAGCAAAGGGCGAACTCCCCTTTCCTCGGGAGCGGGCAGTCGGCGGCTCGTGGTCTCCGGCCAACCAGGGGCCTGTTGCCCAGGCAACTCACCAGCTCCGCCTCTGTTGATTGGCTGCCACGGTGGAAGTCAGCCAAGATTTAAAGGGATGCCAGCGACTGCTCTTTTGAAAACCTACCAGTCCCACTGTGGGTGGAGAAATAAATGGTCTTTCTCCTCCTCGCCCAGTCCTTTCCTGCCACGAGGGGGGCGGGGGCTGTGTTCCTGGGGGCCTTTAGTCTGCCCCCTTGGGGAGTGGCGCCTTGCAAGAGACTGGCAGCCTCAGGGGCATTCCCTCGGGCAGCCCGAGGGGGAGTGGCGGGTCCTCAGAATCCTCTGGGGCAGGAAGCCCGGAGTGGCAGGGGCAGAGGCGGACGCCCCCTGTCCTCGTCTTCCAGAGCGCGGGAGCGGGGGCGCCCTGCCCTCTCCCAAGAGCACAGGCATTGCACGCGTTTGCTCTCCGGCTCCATTGCAAGAAACGAGGAACTTGGGTGCAGAGCCCGCAGCCTCCGGGAGAACGTGGAGGGGCTGGGAGACCCCGACCGCTCACGGGGACCCCAGAGCTCCAGCCCCTGCCCTCGGCGGGGAGGAGCAGGTTCCGTCTAGGGACAGACGGGGACAGACCCCAGGATCAACCGCACACCGCGAACCTGAGCCTCTGCCACCTGCCAGGATGTCCCTGCCGCGGTGGCGGACGCTGCGGCTCCAGGCGGCCCCTGCTGGCCACCCTCGGGATAGCGCCCCGGTCCTGTCCGTCGGATCCCCTGCCAGGTAGGCTTGTTTTTGTCCCGCGCTCTAGCCACACAAAACCGGAAACGAGTCCAGTTCCGCCAGCCGGGTGTTCCCAAACATTTAATAATATTTTTGTCATTCTCGGACAAGGTCTCACCCCAAACCCTAATATATAAAATTGCCCACTTCCCAGGCCCGTGGCAATCAAACCTTGTGTTCACCCACATCAGCTTTAGAACCCGTTCAAAACCCTGATTCCTGTCCCCACATGCCTTCGGATCTGAGCCAGCATCTGGGCGGGGCCCAGGAATCTGCATTTCTGGCAGTAACCCGAGTGGGTGGGCTTGGGCCCATAGAGTCTGAGAAACCCTCCCTGGCTCCCGAATGGCCTCGATAGAATCCAACTTGAAAACCACACGTCTGACTCACTCCCACCTCATTTCATACAGGGTAAACTGAGGCTCACAGAAGGCAAGGTCTTCCAGGTTCAAAGGATCTGAGCCTGGCACACGGGGCTCCTAGCCTCAGTTCTTCTCCTAGTGCATGATTCTGGAAGCCTGTGGTGGGGGGCCCCCCCCCGTGAAGGACAGGGTACAGAAGGATCAGTGAGGTTACAGGGATTAGCAGACATGAGAACAGGAAAGGCTGAGCCCATTTTGTGCCTGTCTGGGGCAACGAGGCCACATGGGCATTAGGAGTTCAGGTACAGCTGTGTCCAGCAGCTCAGGGCCAGGCTAGCCTCACTGGTGTATGTAGAAGCTAGTCCAGGGAGGCAGAGTCCCCAGGCTCAGCACATAAGTCAGGTTCCTTATCCTGTCCACTCCAGTCTGACTCAGAGCGTGAATCTCAAGGCAAGGCTGGCCCCTGCCCGAGGGAATTCAGTGCCCTGAATTCTGGACGCGGGGCGCGCACGACTATGCATGTCTCAGGAGCCTTCAAGGCATCAAAGAGGTACAGGACAGCCACGAGGAGACTACGGGGCCAGGGCAGGCTGAGGAGGGCCCCACGGCTCCTTGCTCCTCCTTCCAGGCGGCTCCGCACTGGCTCAGGGCCTACGGTGGCCTGGGGCCGCCCTCCCTTGCTCCTGCAGCTGGAAGTCTTCGTGGGCCTGGTCCAGGTCTGCCAGCACCTCCAGCAGGCGGGCAGCCGCTGCCCTCTGCCGGGCCAGGACGTCAGGACAGGCTCCTGGGAGGGACACCAGCGGGCCGCAGGCTCAACCAGCGCAGGGCAGGCTGCAGATTCCCCAGGTGGCTTGATAACCCTAAAATCTCCCAGAGCCCCACGCACAGCCCGGTGGTGGACGGGAAACAGGAGGGCGGGCGGGAGGACACGGGTGTGCTTGGCAAGCGGTGGCAAGTGCCCGCTGGGGAAAAGAAAAGGGACTTCCTTAACCCCTTACCTTCCGGGGCACTGGAGCCCCTCCCCGTGTCAGCCTCCAGAGTCATGGCCGCGCTGGCATCCCCCAGGGCTTGCATCCTGGAAGGTAGAGCGAGAAAGACAAGGCTGGTTCCTGACTCCCAGTCCTGCCCCTACCCCAGAATCTCCGCTGCTTGCAGGAGACATTGCAGCTTCCGGTGAATCATCATCATCATCATCACAGCAAACATTTCTAGAGCGTCAGACACTATTCTAAGCCCTTTGTGTGTTTTCACTCATTTAACTATAATGACAAATTTATATGAGGTAGGTGTTACTATTCGCTCCATTATACAGATGGTCGCTGAGACACAGAGAGGTAAAGTTACTTGCCTAAGGTCACACAGCATAATAACGACCATTACCGTTTACTGATTACAAAGTGGTCTACCTGTGGGGATCGAGGGACGACCCCATGAGGTAGGGAGTGTTATCAGCCCCATTTTCCAGATGAGGAAACCGAGGTACAGAGAAGTTAAGCAACTTGCTCAAGATCGCACAGCCATTAAGTGGCCAGGCCAGGACTGGAACCCAGGCAGGTCAGCTCAGAACCCACTCAATAATGGGTTGGGACAAATCTGTCACTGAGGCCAGCTGGGGGAAGGGACATATCCAAGGTCATATAGCAAGCTCAGGAGGCCAGGGTTTTGTGTGGACTGTGTCTCTGGAGCGCCAGGCTGTACATCCCAAGGTCAGGGTCTGCATGGGGCCCACCCAACGGAGTACTTGGTAGACGCCCGGTCTCAGCCCGTGCCTGGATGGCCCAGCGGGTCACAGGGTGAAGAGGGTGGCTGGGGGCACCCACCTGAGCTGGTCGCGCCCCAGAAGCAGCTGCCTGTACACCATCTGGGCCTCGGCGTCCGGGTCTAGCGGGTCACTCCAGTCCCCCAGGGTGACGGCCGAGTGTGTTCGGCTGCAGCCGGCAGCTGAAGGCACACAGCGTCATCGGTAATCCCGCCCCCGGGCCTGGCAGTCCCCAAGCCCGACCCCTTCTACCTCTAAAATCTCTCCTCAAACCCACTACTCCCTTCCAGTCCAACTTCCCTGCTAACTCCTACTCTACCCGGGTTGCATTTAAACAGCGCCTCCTCCAGGAAGCCCTCCTGGATCCCCCATCCTGAGGCTGGCTGGGTCAGAGGCATTCTCTGGGATCTCGACTGCCTCCCCTGGCCCTCACACACTGTATTGTCACTGTCTGGTCATGCGCTCGTCTTGCGTGGCGGCGAGCACACACACGCCGGACGCCGGCACGGAGTGGGCACTTAAAACACAGCTGTCACATTGGACGAGCGCTGCGAGCCCCGCGCTGTTCTAAGTGCTTCGTGTGCGTCCACTCGCCGAGCCCTCACGACTGCGTTTCGCAGTCCCGATGGAGGCATAGCGAGGTCGCCTAACTTGCCCAGGGTTGCTCAGCCAGCCCGGGCAGAGACGGGACACCCGCTGATTGACAGGCGCGGGGGCGGGGCCTGCCGTCCGCCCCGCCCCCTCACCCGAGCGCTCGGCCTGGAGACAGCAGGTCCAGCGGGCGCTGCGGAAGGCACCGGGGTGGCAGGAGGCCAGTCTGTCGGGGTTGGGGGCGCTGGCCTTGCGCAGGGCCGACAGCCATTGGCTGAGCTCGTTCACATTCTGCAGGGGCGGGACGGGATCAGGCGGCCAGGCAGGAAGCGACAGGTGCCGCCCTGCGCCCCGCGTCCCGGCGCCCAGCGTCCCGGCGCCCCGCGTCCCGGCGCCCCGCGCCCCTCCGCCCCGCGTCCCGGCGCCTCACCTTGCACTGGAGGTAGGTGGTGTGCGGCGGCCCCGCGCCGTCCTGCGTCACCACCTGCATCACGTGGGGCAGCTGGAAGGCGCCCTCGTCCACGCGCTCCACGGCGCGGATGTGCGACACCGGGAAGCAGGTGCGCGCCTGGGGAAAGGGTGTCGCTGCAGCGCGTGCGGGGCCAGGGACAGCTTCCCCCGGGCGTGCGCGTCACCCGGCGCCCCGGGGCGGGGACGTTCCTCACGCATCTGTGCTCTGTGGTCCCGCCCTGTCACTCTGTGAGTGACTTAACTCCGCTGGGCCTCAGTTTCCTTCTTAATCATCATCGTCATCATAACAGCGACCACTTACACGGTGCTTGGGGCGTGGTTCTAAGCACGTGTATCCACTTATGTCATCAACAGGACGTGTGAGTGACACACCCGATTGTACCCGAGTCTAAGCGGCACTGGCCTAGGTCTGGGCGGGAACGCCGGACGCTGGCTAAGCACGTCCCGGCCCTGCGTGTGTCCAGGCCACAGCCTGTGCACGCTCTGAAGGGTGTGTGATGGATGGCGAGTACGGGTAGGTGTGTCCCTGTCCCTGCCCCGGCCGCATCGGCCGGAAGCTGTGTGCAAAGCCTGTCCTGGGAGTTTGCAGGTGTGACGTTGCTACAGCGGCGCCTTGCGGCCTTGCCCACTCGAGCCTCAGTTTCCCCCTAGCTGCAAAGGGGTGGCTCCATGAGGGAGGCCACCACCGCACAGCCCCCCAGCGTGGGCTGGAGCCCCACCTGCCACTCGGGACCCTTGGCATAGGAGAGCGTCTCCCCGCTGAGCCAGAAGTAGCGCTTCTTGAAGGCGAAGCGCGGGGCCAGGCTGGCAGGCTCCTCCTTGCGCTTGAGCAGGTAGCCTTCGCGGAGCGTCGCCGAGGGCGGCACCAGGGCCCTGGCTGGGGCGCCCGCCTCTGGGAAAGGGAGGAGACAGGTGGGGGACCCTGAGCCCTTCCGGCCCGGCTCGACCCGTCCTGCCAGCCAGCCCAGGGCCTCTGCGGATGCTCCCCTGGAGGCAGGGGAAGGACACGGTGACTTCGGATCCCCTCCCTCAATAGGGAATGGTCCCACTGAGGCAGGGAGGAGCAGAGCGGCACCACCACCTGCAGTTTCTCGGGTTGGAGAGGGATGTTCAACATTCTGACAGGTTGCTCCTCTGCCACTTGGACCCAGCTATGTCATGACCTGGGCCCTACATGGTGACAGGGACTTGACCCCAACTCCTCTGCTTAAAATCGTCCCGTGGCTCCGTTTCCCTCCAAGCCAAAGCCAAAATTCTCCCCACAGACCACAAAGCCCCACACAGTCTGGCCCACCTCCTGTTTGCCCCATTCGCCCTTCTTCACTGGCCTCCTCGCTGTCTCTCCCTGCTCCTACCTCAGGGCCTTTGCACATGCTCCTCCCTGCCTGGAACTCTTCCCGGGATCCACCTGGCTCTCTCTCTGTCCCACTCCAGGTCTTTAGTCTAGTGTCACCAAAGTGAGGCCATTCCTGGCCACCCTATCGAAAAGTTCAACCTGCCGCCCCTGCCCCAGTCTTCCCTACCCTCCTTTCTTTGTTCCCCTTCGCATTCAGGCTCCCTAACGCATCGCATCGTTTGCTCGCTCGTCTTGCTAACAGCCTGTGGGCCCCCCTGGATAAAACCCCGATGAGACCAGGTTTCCTTCTGTCCTGTTCACCGCCGTGTCCCCAGACAGCGTCGCCTAGAACAGTGCCTATTACAGATGCTTGTCCATTGCACGCGAACCGTGCCGTGACCCGACCCCCATCCCCACCTGGGCTGGGATGCCGGGAGGACCCAGCACAGCAGGGGACCCAGCACAGCTGTTAGTTGATTGACTAGCTGACCCACAGCAGGAAATGTTCGTTGATTGACTAGCCGACCCACAGGTCTACATTCTCGGTGCTGAGAAGCTGGTGGGGGTGAGGGAGAGGCCTGGAGTGCCCCCGTGGGGTGACAAGGCCGGTGTGGCAGGGCCACAGGAACTCACCCTCATCCCCATCCACGTCCACCAGCCGGTCCAGGAAGTCCCGCACGCGGGAGATGCTCTGCAGCAGGAAGGGGTGCAGGGGGGCCATCCACAGCTCCTTGCCCTGGCCCAGCTGCTGGCCCAGGTTTCCGATGCTCTGCACAGCCTGGAGCAAAGGAGCAAGGGATGCCAAGGCCAAGGCTGCTGCAGAGGGGAGGGCCTTCTATGGACTCAGAACACAAGCCCAGAGTCCTGGCTCCTAAATCAGTGCTCAATGATAGGAGAAGACTCATACCAGTGCCTGCCTTGGGGAATATCTGTGCCTCCCGCCCCCTTTTGGAATCTGCACCCCAAGTTCCCTTATTCTGTCTCCTCCCCAGCCCAGACTTCTCCCCCATCCAGGACTGCCCAATCCTATCATGCATACTCAGAGCCCAGCAGAACCTCGAGTTGCTGCTGCTTTGTAAAGGCTGGTGTGATTCATACTGAGGTGTAAATGACTGCCGGCCTGCTTTCCACTTTCCTCCTGGAAGGGTTGGGTTTTCATTTCAAAGAGGAAATTGGAGAGCATAACGAGTGCCTTGGCACTCAGAGTGGTGGCGTTTCAGACGTGGGTTTCTCCCGTGTCATTTGGATCTTCTGCGGGTCTGGCCTCCCAGCTCTGTCCCACCACGATTGTTTTCCCGGCTAAGACCACCCAGGAGGAGGCCCACAGCTGGCGGCACCTTGGCAAGCAGCAGCAGGGAGCGGCTGGTCTGAGGGTCCGCATGGTGGTCCCGGAGGTCAAACAGCTTCGGGGTGAGGATGGCAGGTGCGAAGAATCGCAAGAAGAGAAAGCCGCTTATTGCCAGGTACTTCACGTCCTGCCGGGAGGGGGCGCAGGTGAGAGGGGCCCCGAGAAACTCACTTCCCAGCTGGGGAAACTGAGGCTGGAAGGGCTAGAAATTGATGGTGCGAGGAGAAGTGGGATGGGCGATGGGTCAGGAGGCCACACTGGCCTGCCAAGGAGGTTCCTCCTCTCTGGGCCTCAGTTTTCCCACCTGGAAAATGGAGTGACAATCCAATCCTGCAAAATGAGACTTTGCCGAATGACCTCAGAGTCCGCTTGGTGCCAAGCTCTGTGGTAATGGCACAGCCCTGTGACGGGCGTGCCAGCATCTCTCCTGCTTTACAGAGGAGGAAGAGAAGCTCAGAGACATCAAGTGACTTGTCCAAGGTCACACAGCTGGTGGGTAGAGGAGACCCCGATCTGTGATTTACCGTTGTAACAGCCACCTCTCTGCCCATTCGTTTATTTAACACTCGCCCTAGGAGGGATTACATACCCATTTTACAGAGGAGACAACTGAGGCCCAGAGAGGGAAGCTCACTTGCCCATGACCACACAGCTGTAAGTGGCAGAGCTGGGATTTGAACTCTGTTCTTCACCATTCTCTCCTGCCATTCAACCAGCTACCAGGGAGCAGTCACTGGGTGTCAGCAACTAAGCCTGAACTGTCACTTTTAATCCCTGTGGGGTAGGAACTATTATTCCCATTTTCCAGATGAGGAAACTGAGGCACAGCAGTGAACCCACTTCGGCAGGCTCCAGAGTCCGTGCTGTGTGCGACCCCCTCCCCCAGCCTGTGCTCTCTACAAACTGTAGAGTGCGGTGCCCCAGTGTGAGTGCGGGGCCGGCCCGCCTACAGGTGAGGCTGGCTGCCCCGGCTGCCGCAGGTGCGACTCGGGGACCGGGCGCGACTCGGGGACCGGGTGCACCTCCATCCTGAGCGCGGCTTGCTCTCCCCAAACCAACTCCCCACCCGCCTGTCACACTTGCCCGGCTATATTTAGCCGAGATGCGCTCCTGTGTGTATCTGGAGGCTGGATTCACACCTGGAACGATGCCCTCCCTGGGCGTGTGCCGCTTCCTGGCGAGTGGCCCCGCGGGGGCTGGGACCTGGAGCTGCCCGGGGGAGGGTCTCGCCCTCCATCTGGAGCCCGAACTGCCCGAGGGCCACCACGCCCCACCCGCTGTGCAGCAGGGTGCTTTCGAAGGCACAGGTGGCAGAGAGCAGAGGGAGGGGCTTGCCGCCGTGCCTGAGCCGCCCACCCTGCGGCGGAGAAAGTCCCCCTTCCTGCCCACTTGGGGGCTGAGGGCTGGGGACACTTGGGCGTCGGGACACTGGCTTCCCCTAAGGACTGTGCTGTCTGGGGAGCCAGCCTCCCCCTTTCCCTCCCGCCTCCCTGCCACAGCTGCGTCCCGCTTAACACCTCTGCGGGCAGCCCAGGTGACAGCCCAGCCAAGGTGGGTGGAAACCGAGTCACATCCCGGTTTGGAGGCCCAGAGCTCGCTCACTCCGCAGCCGGGGAGAAGGGGGTGGAGGGAGAGACCCCAGCTGGGAGTCTGGAGGCCTGGGTTTGAGTCCCCACCCTTGGCCAAGGTGTTTTAGCTCTCCGGGCCTCAGTTTCCCCATCGTAAAACAGGAAGCGGAGAGAGATCTGGCCTATGTCAAAAGCTCTTCACCCAGGCTCGAGGAATTGGGCCGTTACGTCTCCGACATTGAGCGAGCCTTAGACCTTTCTACAAAGGGAACCCCGGTGTGCGTTTCTGTGCACCAGCACTGCGCAAGCGCTAGCTCCCCGTTGACTCTGTGTCGGGGGGGGGTGGCCCCACGCCGCAGATGTGTGGAGCATTAAACAGAGAGTCTCAAACTGGCGGCCCGCAGGCCAGTCCAGCCACAGAGATATAATGATCGGCCAGGCTGTTTTTGTTGGGGTTTTTTTAGGTGAATTTTATTTTATTCTTTTTAGAGACAGGGTCTCGCTCTGTCACCCAGGCTGGAGTGCAGTGGCACGATCATAGCTCACTGCAGCCTCCAACTCCTGGGCTCAAGTGATCCTCCAGTCTTAGCCTCCCAAGTAGCTGGGACTACAGGTACGCACCACCACACCCGGCTAATTTTTAAATTTTTTTGTAGAGAGGGGATCTCACAATGTTGCCCAGGCTGGTCTCAAATTCCTGGCCTCAAGCAATCCTCCCGCCTTGGCCCGCCAAAGTGCTGGGATTATAGGCGTGAGCCCAGCCAGTGTCAATATTTATTTGTTCGTTTATTTGTTTATTTATAGACAGAGTCTCACTCTGTTGCCTGGGCTAGAGTGAGTGCCGTGGCGTCAGCCTAGCTCACAGCAACCTCAAACTCCGGGGCCTCAAGCGATCCTCCTGCCTCTCAGCCTCCGAGTAACTGGGACTGACAGCGCATGCGCCACCATGCCCGGCTAAGTTTTTCTATATATATTAGTTGCCCAATTAATTTTTTTCTATTTATAGTAGAGACGGTGTTTCGCTCTTGCTCAGGCTGGTTTTGAACCCCTGACCTCCAACAATCCGCCCGCCTCGACTTCCCAGAGTGCTAGGATTACAGGCGTGAGCCCCCGCGCCCGGCGGAGTGTCAACATTTTAAAAGTGAGAGACCTCACATAAAATTCAGAATCTTGGCTTTAAATAAACACTGAAGACCGGGCAATACGGGGCCCCCATTCCTACATGGCAACGATCCCCCAGAGTGGCCCCTTTAGACGGGATGTGGGAGCCCCAATCTGCCATCCCCTAGCGCCCCGCAGCTTGCCTACTTTGCTCATGGGCCACACCTGCCTCACACTCCCAGCACCTGAGTTTGCAACTTTCGTATCCATGCTGGGAAAAGCAATTGCACGAGCCGCAATTTATTTTTAGACTCTATTTTGGGTGTTTCCTACTGAGTCCCTACTGTGTACCAGGATCCGAGCTCCTCTCCCTCCCTCTCTCTCATAGCTGGAATTTAGGAAGTGCTTACTTGGCGCCAGACTCTACAGTTTGGTTATTATGAGCACAGCCTCGGGAGCCAGCCTGCCTGGGCGAGTGCCAATCCCAACAGGACCCCTTTCTGGCTGTGAGACTTAACCTCTCCGGGCCTCAGTTTCCTCCTCTGTAAAATGGGAATGATACTAGTGTCCAGGTCACAGGAGGGACGTGAAGCTTAGACAAGGTAATAATAAACACGTAAATCACTTAAAACAAGGTCTAGCCCATGCTCAGACAACATATAGTGGTAGCTGCTATTGTTATTATTATTATTATTTTCATCGTTGCCACCCTGTGTCCCAGACCCCGGCAGGCACTGTCCCCACTTCTGCCGGGGACAGAGTGCTTTGATAGGGGCAGCCTGGGTTCCAGTCCCACCTCTTTCCTGGCTCTCCACGTGACCCGGGCAAGCTCTGGCCCCCCAGCCCCGCCGCCCCGCACCCCTGCCGTGGGGCCCGGCCCACCTGGCGCTCGGCCTGGGGGAAGCGCTCCTGCACGCGCCGGCGCAGCTGCCTGAAGGCGAGGCGCATGGCCAGCGGGCAGCGCCCCACGGAGCCCACGATGGCGTCCACGATGGCCCCCAGGTAGCCCGTCAGCAGCCCCAGGCTGGTCTCCCGCAGCTGCTCCTCTGAGGGCGCGCCCTTGAAGGAGATCCTCCTGCAGGGCCACAGAGCAGCTCCGGTGTCCCCAAGACCCCCGCTGAGCTCAAGGGACCCACCTGCCCCACGTGGCTCTGCCACTCCCACCCGGCCCCTCGCTGCCCCTGGAACGCCCAAGTCGTCCCGGCTCACAGCCTTGGCACTCGCCGGGCCCTGTGCCCGGGACACTTTCGCCCCACATGCAGCTTAAATGTCACCGCCTCAAAGTGACTGTCATCCCGTCACTCGTATCACAGGCGCCGGTCAGTGCCAGGCACACCTCAGGGCCTCTGCAGGTCCTGCCCAGGTCCCCAGATGCCCCGTCCCCTGGGGGACCCACTCAGTCTCCCCATCCTGGCCAAGGGGCCAGGAAAAGCCCTTGGCCTGGAGTGTCACTGACGGGCTCTGCCCGTCCGCTCAGGGCCTGGGATCAAAGCCCTGCTTCGCAACTTCCCCGCTGCGTGACCTTAGGCAGGTGACCTCCCCTCTCTGAGGCTCAGTCTCCTCATCTGTAAAAGGGGGTCCTGATGGCTGCCTCGGGGTGGCCGAGGGTGTGGGCAGCACAAGGAAAGACCCTCTCCTGTCCCCACCATGGTCCCCAGTGGACTGCCCAGCAACCAGCTCCAGTGGCCCCGTGGGAACAAGCCTGCCCCGGCTGGAGGGGAGAAGGTTCTGGAAAGAAAGTAGGAGACGCCCACAAAGGCATGGAATGACTTCCTCCCGGTCTCACAAACGGTCCTGCGAGGCGCTCACCACGTGCTGGGCTTTGCACGTGTAACTCTGTCATGAGCCCAAGTTTCAGGTAACACAAGTGAGGCACGGATGTTAAGGCAAGGTGTCCACCAGGAGGAGGGGTAGAGCTGGGATTCGAACCCGGGGAGCTCAGCTTGAGAGTCCTGCCTCTAATTGCTATTCTTCACAGCTGGAGCGGCCCGTGGGCTCACGTGTGAGGCTTTGAGCTTAACCACCGCGTCCTGCGCAGGCGCTCGCAGGCGGGGGCGGCAGGCAGCACGGGCGGCCCGCGAGGACCCAGGCGGCCAGGGGCTGCCGAGGGCCGGGGCCCACCTTGGGCTTTGCTCACCTGGCGCGGCCCAGGTCCATCTTGCACGGGTCCAGCTCCATGTACTTCTTCTCCTCGAAGACGCGGCTGATCACCGGCTTCAGGACCTCGTGCAGGTAGGGCATGCCCACGAGCTGGGGGCGGGGGGCACCACAGGAGGCAGGGCTGAGGGCGAGCCGGGGCACGCCCGTGAGCTGGGCGCAGGGGGCCCATGCGGGGGAGGCTCCGAGAGAGGCCAGGGCCGGGTGGGGGGCGCTGCCCCGGTGCAGTTCAGGGCAAGGCCAGGCACGAGCCACCAGCACTGCAGCTCAGCCACTCGGTGCCACCTGGACCCAGCCAAGCACGGGGGCCAGGGGAGCGCGGGGAAGGAGGCTGCGCCCGGCCCCCCAGGCCCCCAACTCACCTTCATAAACTGCTCCATCGACTTGGAAGCCAGGGAGTTAGACCGGAAGAGGGTGTTGTGGTCGGCTGGGAGGACAGAGGGAAGGCTTTGCTGGGATTTGGGGGTGCTCACCCCAGCTCACCCCACTCATTCAAGGTGCGGGTCATGATTTTTCCAGCCTCAAGAATCAGGGAGACCCAAAACATCAGCCCTGCTCACAGTACAGAGGCCCAGAGTGGTTAAGTGAACTGCCTGAGGTCACACAGCTCATGAGTAACAAAACCAGAGCTTGAACCCGGGACTGTGTTCCCAGCTGCCTGGGGTGTGCACAGCACAGGGACCCCTACAGACCGGAGCCCCTGCCCTCTGCCTGACACCTCCCATTCCCCTCCCAGGGACCCTCCTGCAGTGCCACCCTCAGGGAGCGATGTCAGGGGGTCATGCGCACGACTCACTGGTCCGAGCCACCTCGCGCCGGGTGAGATAGTCCAGGAAGGGCCCGGTGAGGCCCCGGCCAAGGAAGAGCTTCACCAGCTTGGTGGCGAGGTCCTGGCGGCAGTCCCCCGAGGTCAGCTCCTCCAGCACAGCCAGGGGGCTAGCAGTGTCCTCCTGGGCAGGGACAGGCGGCTGCAGAGGCGACCTGGGAGCCCGGGACCCCAAAGCCGAAGAGCCCAGAAGGGGTTCCCAAGGCAGGGGAGACCAGGACCCAGCCCCCCACCCCTGCACCCTTCCCCCTACCCCCACCCCCTCGCAGAATCCCTGCCCGATGCACCCACCTCCGCCGGCCCCAGCACAGCACCCATGAGCAGCTCCAGGAGGGGCTGGTAGTACTGGGAGGGCAGGACGCGGTCTTCGATCAGGCGCACCTTCAGCCGCAGGGCACCCAGGTTCCCCCTGCCCGGGAGGGGACCCCAGGTAAAGGAGCATAAATAAGTACTTATGGGCGGGCGTGGATATCCAAGAGAGGCAGGTGGGAACACAAGTAATGAACATGGATGTTTGCAAAGGAAGACAGGCGTGAACAGGTGTGGACAGGTGTGGCCAGGTGTGAACAGATCTGGACAGGTATGAATAGGAATGCACAAGCACAGACAGCGCAGAGGCGGCCAGAGCGGAACGGTGTGGCCAGCGTAAACACTGTGTGCAGGACTAGTAGGCAAGTGTGGACAGCGTGAACAGGTGTGAACAGGCGTGGCCAGTATAAACAGGTGTAAACCTACATTGACAGGCATAAATAGGGAAGGAAAAGGGGGGCCAGTGGAAACAAGAGTGTACAAGAATGGGCAGTGTGAGCCGGGCGCGGTGGCTCACACCTGTAATCCCAGCACTCTGGGAGGCCGAGGCAGGAGGATCGCTTGAGCTCAGGGGTTTGAGACCAGCCTGAGCAAGAGCGAGTCTGTCTCTATTAAAAATAGAAAAATTAGCCCGGCATTGTGGCAGGGGCCTGTAGTCCCAGCTACTCGGGAGGCTGAGGCAGGGGGATCGCTTGAGCCCAGGAGTTTGAGATTGCTGTGAGCTAGGCTGATGCCACTGCTCTCTACCCAGGTGGCAGAGCGACACTCTGTCTCGAAAATAAAGGAATGGGCGGTGTGGATAGGTACAGACAGGTGTGGATAGGTACAGACAGGTGTGGATGGGTACAGACAGGTGTGGATGGGTACAGACGGTGTGGATAGGTACAGTAGGTGTGGATAGGTACAGTAGGTGTGGAGAGGTACAGACAAGTGTGGAGAGGTACAGACAGGTGTGGATGGGTACAGACGGTGTGGATGGGTACAGTAGGTGTGGATGGGTACAGTAGGTGTGGATAGGTACAGTAGGTGTGGATGGGTACAGACAGGTGTGGATGGGTACAGACAGGTGTGGATAGGTACAGACAGGTGTGGATAGGTACAGACAGGTGTGGAAGGACCCGAAGCGCTGGACACACATCGCCCAGTGCGGACTGACATGTGCGCGTGCGCAGGGGCTGGGCGAAAGGGGACTGAGTTGGGCGCGCGTGGGCACACGCTGAGAGACGCCACGCGCGTTGGCTGAATGCATGAAGTGGCGCGGTCGTGTGGGCGGGCGGGGCACCCGCGAGGCCCCGCCCCCACGCCGGCCCCGCCCCCACGCCGGCCCCGCCCCCGCATTTACCCAGAATCCTCCTCGGCGCCGGGAAAGGGCAGCAGGCGGAACCAGCCGTCGGGCGGCCGGTGGCGCAGCGTCCTCGGGGAGAACTCCACCTGCGGGCGGACGCGGAGCGCTGGGCGCGGCCCTGGGAGGCTCGGACCGCCCATGGGGAGGGGCGCCGGGGTGCGGGGCCACCCCCCTGCCCTCCCCGCCCGGTGTCAGCTCCTGCCAGGGCACCCAGGGCCTCCAGGGAGCGCCTCGTGTACAGCTGGGGAAACTGAGGCTCAGAGAGGTGGGGCGCTTGCCCAGGGTCACACAGCGGCTGGAGACAGCGCGCCGGGACTGAGTGCGCTTCCTGTTCATGGCTGAGTAGTACTCCCGTGTCGACGACCACAGCTGGTTTATCCGTCGCAGGCGCGGGGCGGCCCCTCCCGGGCTCCGAGGGCCCCCGCCACGGTCGCTGGCGCCGGTGTCCGCGTGCGCGCCGGGAGCGGGACTCGGTCACGCGGCGGCTGCAGCCTCGGTCGGGCCTTTGCCAAGCGGCCGCACCGCCGCGGCGCCTCGCCTAGCCTCCGTCTCGTGCACTCTCCTCCTGCCTCCTTTGAAGAGTGCTCTCAGCCACTCGCAACCGCCATGAGAGGCAGGAGCGATCACGCCCATTTTACAGATGGGGAAACCAAGAGAAAGACCCCGTGCCCGGAGCCTCCAGGAGTAGGAGTCACAGGCTTGGGTTCTAGAGTCGGACCTGGACGCACATCCCGGCTCTGCTCTTTCTTAGTCGTAGGACCTGAGAAAGCCGCTTGACCTCTCCGAGTGTCAGTTTTCCCGTCTGTAGAATGGGGATGACGACAGTGCCAGCCTCGCAGGGTGGCCATGAGTGCTAAGTGCGTGAGGCGCTGCCGGAGGGACACTTAGCAAGGGCCGACACACACTCATCTGGCATGCCGTCACCCCAGAGCGAGAATCTGGGTCCATCTTACGATCTAGGGCAGGCTCCCATACCTTTGAGAGCCTCAGTTTCCTCCCCTGTACAATGGGGCAATGGCATCCCATCACCCAGGCCTGGCCAGGGGACCTGATGCAGCCTTCACCTCTGCCCTTCTGAGCCCCAGGAGGCTCAGCCCATCCTGTCTTCCTTCTCCTTTGGAGGCACTGGGGAGCCACAGACGGTGTTACAGGGAGTGAGGCTCACCATGCCCAGGAAGTCGTTCTTGCCCACCATGTCCCAGTCCCAGAGCTCCACCCGCAGTGGGGACGGGGCACCGGGCACCTCCCGCAGCTCCAGCACCTCGTCCCAGTGTGGGAACCGCGTCTTCTTGATGGTCTGGGGCAGGGGAGTGGTCCGTGAGCGGAGAGCCACCGCGGGCGGGCGCCCCTCCTTCCCGGCCCCTTGCCCGCCGCTCACCGAGGTCTCCAGGCTCTGGCTGCCCCAAAACACGCGTGCAAACGGGTCAGACGTGCCGGAGATGTCTCGGGGGGCCAGGTCCCTGGGGACAGGTGGGGAAAGGAGTGAGGGAACGCGGGACCTCAAGGACCGAGCCCCAAGCTGGCCTCACTTGGAAAGGGGATTCAGGGAAGGGCATTCAGATGCTACGGTCTCCAAGACAACGAAATGTTCCACCATAGGGGCCCGGCAAGGGGCACCCCTCAGCACGCCTGTCCCCTCACACTGCCCTAGGAGTAGGCACGCGTATGCCCCCATTTTCCAGATGAGGAAACTGAGGCACAGAAAGATCAAACCCTGCATTAAAAAGCCCCGCAAGTGAAGGTGCCGTGGGGAGGAGGAAGGGAGCCTCAGTTTCCCCAGAGGCCCTAGATCGGAGACTAAATGCAAAGCTTCAAAGCCCGGCTCTGCACTCATTGGTTGGGTGACACTAGGAAAAGTCACTTCACCTCTCTGAGCCTTAGTTTCCTCATCTGGAAAATGGGAGTAATAACAGACCAACCTCACAAGGCCAAGGGTTAAAGGTGTGTAAAGCACCTAGCACAGCACCTGGCAGGTGATGGTACTCAGTTTGTATATTCATTCAACAAGCACCCATGCCCACTCCCTGTCTAGGACCCAAGAGAAGGCATGCGGCAGAGCCCCCTGCTTCTAGTTGCCATGACAACCCCAAAGCCTTGCCCCAGTCAGCTTCCCCATGCCTCCTCCTTGAGGGCCCCCACCCCACCCCCACCGGGGCTGCCTGCTTCCTCCCCCTGCTCCCCTCCCATCCCTGCTCAGCATCCAAAGCCGCCTTTGGTTTCCTAGGAGCCAGCCCAGTTGCTAAGCGACAGCAATCGGTCCCTCTCATGCCTGCACGGATCCTGGCTGGGGAGGGGGCCGTGGGCACCAAGAAGACAGGGAGCCCCTGCCCCACGCTGAGTCCTTCAGCCTGGCCCCTGCCTCCTTGGTCCTCCCTAGTCCAGACTCTGGGGAGCCCCTCCCGCACCAAGGCTGGGGGCAAAAATCTGGAGGTGGCCAGAGAGGCCCAGAGAGGGCAAGCAAGGGCTTTGTGATCACACAGCAGGCTAGAAATAGGAGATCCTCCCCGATCTGGGCGAGGATTGGCCTAAAAGTAAGGGTCGGGGGAGTGAGGTGTGAAAAAAGGCAGAAAGACAGGATGGGGGAGAGAGGGGAGAGGGCGGAGGTATTTACAGAGCAAAACAGGCGAGCTGAGGAAGGGAGAAGGGATCACAGTGACAAGTCGGTACGAGGGCGGACGGGTGTCCCATGAGCTGGTGCCCTCGAGGGCCACCGGTGGGATCTTCTGGTCTTCCATCTTCCTTGTGGATTTTCTTTGGGACAGAGCCCACCCCTCCCTCACTCCCAGCCCAAATGACTTGGGCGGGGCAATCCCTCCCTCCACTCCAGGAAGGGGCTGTGGCTCAGGCCTAGCCAATCCGTCAGTGTCACTGGTTCGGAGACAAGCATGTCCCCCAGACTGAGCCAACAAGAATTAATCCTGGACAGTGGTTGGAAACGGTGAGAAATAGGAGCTCTTTTTCAGTGGGAGTGGCTACGTTGACAGCATGCCAGCCGGGGGCTGCCAGGTCCCTCTTTGCCCCCCACCTGGGGAGAGGCTGCCTGAGAATGAAGCTAACACAGAGGACATCAGAGCCAAAAGACAGAGACAGATTCCTGAAGTCGCCTTCTGCGCACCTGGATCCAGCCATGCCTGAAGCTACACGCCAGTCATATGCGCCAATACACTAGCTCTTCTGCCTAAGCCAGTAGGACTCGCGTGTCTGTCAGTTACAACTTGATTGCCACACCTCCACACTCGGGTGTCTGGCCAGCCTGCGTGTCTGGCCTGTGGCTGCTGGTCACAAGAGCCTGACGAGGCTTTTGCACACGGGAACGTGCAGCCCGGCGAGCTTGGGCTGCTCGTGCACTCGGGGAAACCGGCTGTGAGCCCAGAAGGGCCCAGGAGTCAGGAGGGACACCCAGGGGTTCCTGCCCCTTCTCAGACCGCCCTCTCCCCCGCGCCTACCTCGCCTGGAGCACGTGGCAGCGGAGGCAGCGACCCCGGGCGTCCTCCAGCACCTGCACCGACAGGCGGACCTCGCCCTGCACCTCCGCGTCCCGGTCCACGCGGCTCAGGTTGACCCAGCTGTCGATCCCTGGAGGGGACAGGCGCCAACACTCACCAAGCATCCACGGCTCGCTTGTGACTTAAAATCCCAACTGGCAGCGGGTCGGTGGCTACGCCTGTCACCCTACACTCTGGGAGGCCGAGCGGGCGGATTGCTGAGGCTCAGGAGTTCGAAACCAGCCTGAGCAAGGAGCAAAACCCGTCTCTACTATAAATAGAAAGAATAATTGGCAACTTATATATACAGAAAAATTGGCCGGCATGGTGGCGCATGCCTGTAGTCCCAGCACTAGGGAGGCTGAGGCAGGAGGATCGCCTTGAGCCCAGGAGTTTGAGGTTGCTGTGAGCAGGCAGCGCCACACGGCAACTCACTCTAGCCTGTTTTGAGACTGTCTCAAAAACAAACAAACAAAAAATCCTCTGAATTAAAACAGTGTCGAGGCACTGACTTCTGACATTGGTGCTGCAATTATCCCTATTTTCAGATGGGGAAAAGAGTCCTCGGAAAAAGCAGCTTGGCCCGATGCCAACATATCTCTCGTCAATCCCAACATTACTCCTCGTCAATCCCAACATACTCCTCATCAACCACATACTCCTAGTCAATCCCACATCCCCTCGTCATCCCAACATACTCCGTCAATCCCAACATACCAATCCCAACATATCCCACATAACCCTCACTCAATCCCAACATACTCCTCATCAATCCCAACATACTCCTCATCATCACCCAACATACTCCTCGTCAATCCCAACATACTCCTCATCAATCCCAACATACTCCTCATCAATCCACAACTCTCATCAACCCCTCTCTCCAATCCCAACATACTCCTCGTCAATCCCAACATACTCCTCGTCAATCCCAACATACTCATCAATCCCAACATACTCCTCGTCAATCCCAACATACTCCTCCCTCAAAAAGCTTGGATCTCTCTCCTCCCTCTCTCTCCTCCCTCTCTCTCCTCCCTCTCTCCTCTCCTTTGACATTTGAAGACATTGCTTCCCTCGTAGCCCTTGGGAGATGAGGCTTTCAGCCTAATCATTGCTCTTCCGTAAGTGGTCTATCTTTTCTGATTTTGAGGACTGTATCTTTGATGTTCTGTAGTTTCACCACAACGCGCCTAGATAAGGAATTTTTAAATCCTGCTTAGTGAAGATTGTGAAGATTCTTCTACTTATAGGATCATGTCCTCCCTTCAGTTCTGGAAACTTCTAGGCCATGAGCATTTTTTATTTTCTCTCCCCAATTTTTTTTTATATTATTATTTCCTCTCCCCAGTGTTTTCCATTCTTCCGGGACTCCAGGTAAATGGATGTTGGACTTTCACAGTTATTTTCCATGTCTCTGAACTTCTCTTTTATATTTTCCTTCTCCTTTTTTCTCTGAGATGAATTCTGAATCATTTCTCTAGATCGCTCTTCCAGTTCACTGAGTCTCGCTGCAGCTACGAATGAGCTGATGTTTAACTCAGCCACTGAGTTTTTAATTCAACGATTGTACTTATCTCTAAAAGTTTTATTTGGTTCTTCTAAAAAAAAAATCTGCCTAGTTATTTTTTTATTTTTTTTTCTTTTGAGACAGAGTCTCACTTTGCCCCAGGCTAGAGTGAGTGCCATGGCGTCAGCCTCGCTCACAGCAACCTCAATGTCCTGGGCTCAAGCGATCCTCCTGCCTCAGCCTCCCGAGTAGCTGGACTACAGCATGTGCCACCATGCCCGGCTAATTTTTGTATATATATTTTTAGTTGGTCAATTAATTCTTTCTATTTTTGGTAGAAGACGGGGTCTTTGCCAGGCGGTCTCGAACCTCCTGACAGACCACCCCACCTCGGCCTCCCAAAGTGCTAGGATTACAGGCGTGAGCCACCACGCCCGGCATTCCTAGTTATTTTTTAATATATTTCTCTAACTTATTGCTGTCATTGCTGGCCTTTCTTGTGACTCCATTTATTTCTTTAAATATCGGATCCTTTATTTTTTTATTTAATCTTGTATATCATCATAACAAAATCTAAAATCTTTGTGGGTCTAAATCCGATGGCTGCTGTCTCTGCTAACTATTGCTCATGGTGTCCCATTTCCTTGTGCGCTTGGTGATTTTGGACCGTGAAGTCCTGTCTGTTTGACCTCACTCTGTGGGAAACCCAAGCAAGAATGCTTACCCTTGGCGGGGGGGGGGGGGGGCAGTTGCTTGTTGTAGGACTCTCTGAGGGTCTCAGCCCGACGGAGTATTCTCATGTCCAGTGATTTCCACCTCGACCCTTGCCCAAGTGTTATTCTCTTTGTCGACTGCAGAATTGACACTGACATTTGCTTTCAGGGAAATCCTTCATTATCCCTGGGCTTACTGTTCACCACTCCCTGTTAGGTTTTAGCTCGTGATTTGGGGCCGGGCAAATACGCAGGGATTTCCCTTCTTTACAGCAAGTCTAGCAGTGCATTAGGAATCCCGAGTTATTCAGGGTCTCACTGTTACATGGCAGGGGAGCACTGCTGAGGATCTCGTCCCCGCATGCTGCTCAAAGTGTAAGTCCCGTCTCACGTGTATCCTCGCTGCTACCCCTAGTCCGGGATGCCCTCAGTTTTCTCTCACTGGCTCATAGTAATTGATCCCTAACAGATCTCCTGTGCTGACTCTTGCCCTGCTGTGATCCAGCAGCCACAGGGACCATCTGAAAATGCATCCAATCTTTCCTATCCCTCCATCTTCTGATAACATGGCCCCGCTCTCTTCACTGTCTTACTCAAGAACCATCAATGGCTCCTATTGCTCCCAGAAGACCATCTAGAGTCTGGCTCTGGCCTGGCACCCTCAGCCCTGTCCAATTAACCCCCACAAGTGTTCCCTCCGACCTGGCCTAGTCTGACTCTGGAAGAGGACAGGTAGCAAGGCCCCCTAGCGTCTTCGCCAGAGCACCTTTAAGCGTCAACTGGTTGCTCTTCCGCTGTGAAGCTTCCCTGGACCACACTGGCCCCCACTACCCTGGCTCATCACCCGTCCTGCCAGTGATATTCCACCTACCTCCACCTCCTCGTTTCTGTCCTGTCTAAGGAAACGAAAAGCACCCACATGCAGACACATGGACGTTTTCATTCTTTTCTTGCTCCCTGTTCTGTGCCGATGTGTTTCGTTTTCCTGTCTAGTTCAGTAAGCTCCGGGAAGGCAGACCTCACACGTCATTCATTTAATTCCCCACCCCTGTGGGTAGATTTTTGAGGCACAATGGGTACAGCTCAGTGGGCAGAATAAGAACACAGATTTCGGGTTCAACTCTCACCTCTGCAACTTCTAGAAGGGGCAAGTCACCCCACCTGTGTAAACTGAAGATCATTCGGGTGCATAGCTCACTGGCACGTTGTGTGAACTAAAGGTAAAGTGCTTAGCATCAGGCCCCGCATATAGCAAGCCCTCATTAAATAGCAGCAATGATTATAATGATAATTAGCACATAGCAGGATCTCAACTAATTCTAGCTAAAAAAAAATAATAAATTGTCCAATGAGTGGTATTGAGACAATTAATAGTCATCTAGATAAAAAGTAATACTTTATATCTGGATAAATTCCAATTCCAAATAAAGACTTAAGTGTTTAAAAAAATGCAACAGATTATAACTAGAAGGAATATGTAAAAAAAAAAAAAAAATTTGTCTTAACCTTAGAGTTGGGGAGGTCTTTTTAGGTATAACAGAAAATCCAGAGCCAAAAGAAATATATGAGGTTGACTACCGAAAAACAAACAAATTTTATAGATGGAAAAATTATAAGCAAAGTCAAAATATAAGAGACAAAGGGAGAAAAAATATTTGCAGCTAATATGACAAAGAGTTGATTTCCCTAATATGTAAAGAGCTCCTACAAATCAATAAGAAAAGGCCAACAACTCAGTGGAGGAAAATGCATGTATGATATGAATAGACAATAAACAGAAGAGGAAATCAAGTGTTTCTTAAATACTATATATAAAAAGATTTTCAATATCCCTCATAGAGAAATTGCAAAATAAACCTACACTAAGAAGCAATTGTTTACCTGTCCGATACAAGATCAAGAAGTTTGATGATTGTTTGCAAGGGTGTGGAGTTAATTGTTACCTCCTTCATGGAGGGTAATTTGGTGATAACTATCTTTCTTTTTTCTTCTTTTTTTTTTTTTTTTAAGAGACTGAGTCTTGCTCTGTCACCCAGGCTAGAGTGTAGAGGCACAATCATAGCTCACTGTAACCTCGAACTCCTGGGCTCCAGCCATCCTCCTGCCTCAGCCTCCCAAGTAGCTGGGACTACAGGCATGTGCCACCACACCCTGCTAATTTTTTAAACGTTATTTGTAGAAACAGAGTCTCCCTATCCTGCTCAGGCTGGTCTTGAACCCCGGGCCTCATTCGATCCTCCCACCTTGGCTTCCCAAAGTGTTGGGCTTACAGGCGTGAGCCACTGTGCCCAGCCCAGCAAGGACTATCAAACACGCCAACGCGCACACTCTTCGATCCAGCAAATCCGCCTCCAGGGATTTGTCTGACGGATGGGTACAACTTGCACGTGTGTCAAGCCGCGTTTGTAGAAGGCTATTCACGGCAGCATTGTTTGAACTTGGCAAAAACTGTGCGTAACCCAGACGCCGTCGAGAGGAACCCAGCCGAATAAACAATCGTGGGGTGCCACAAAGTCCCACCAAGAGCGAGGAATGCGGAAACTCTCGCCGCTGCAGAAAGATCTCGAAGGGTGGGTGATGAATGGAAAGGCAAGATACGGAACACAAGATGCCGATTGTCACAGAATAGATGATATTCATGGAAGCCACAGATAGTACAGGATGAAGAACACAGATTCTGGAACTGGACAACCTTGATCCAAATTCTGGCCATTTTGCTTAATAACTTTGAGACCTTGGGCAAGTCATTTAACCCTCTGTGTCCCCGTTTATTGACCTATAAAGCGGGCATGAGAAGAAGACCGACCGCACAGGCTTACTGTGATAACTGAGTTGATTCGTGCAAAGCACTTAGAACGCATTCAGTACACAGTAAGCACTATCTAAGTGCTGCTGTGACTATTGTTACCTGCTTGTATACGTTTAAACTATCCCTAAAACGACATGCAGGAAAGGAATAGTGCAGTTGGGTGAGAGACAGTTTCATTGCTTATTGTAAAATCTGGATATTGAGCTAGGCAAATGAATTAACTGCTCAAAAATTAAAGACAAAAATAGGCCGGGCATGGTGGCTCACGCCTGTAATCCTAGCACTCTGGGAGGCCGAGGCGGGAGGATCGCTCGAGGTCAGGAGTTCGAAACCAGCCTGAGCAAGAGCGAGACCCCGTCTCTACTATAAATAGGAAGAAATTAATTGGCCAACTAATACATGTAGAAAAAATTAGCCAGGCATGGTGGCGCATGCCTGTAGTCCACTCGGGAGCCACTTGGGAGGCTGAGGCAGGAGGATTGTTTGAGGCTCTGTCTCAAAAAAAAACAACAACAACAAAAATAATGTCCCACTGGAGGCTCTGAGCGTCCCTGTGCCGCTTGCTACCTGCCACTGTAAACGCCCACTCTGGGCACAGTGCCCTCCGCCCTCTGCCCGGCTGTGGCCGGCGCCCCTGGCCCACCTCGGGGGTCGGCTGCGATGGCCTCCCTGCTGAGCGAGATCTTGCCGATGACGTCGTCGTGCCTGCGGAGAGGCCGGGGGGAGGGTGCGAGTCAGGGACGCCCGCCCCGCCCATAGAGAAGTGGGGCGAGTGTCAAGGGCTGGGTCGGCGAGTGTCAAGGGCTGGGTGGGCGGGCACTGTTTGCTGTGGGGTGTGACCCCATGTCCCACCTCCCCTCAGGCGCCCGGCTGGGGTCCCCACACACACCCCACCCGCCAGGCCACACACCCCACGGTGTCCTCGTCCAGCACGTAGAAGGCCACGTGGTGGAAATCCAGAGGCAGGTGCACGGTGTACTCCTCCCCCCAGAAGGGGCTCAGGCTGCGCCAGACGGTCGCGGTCCTGCAAAGGCGGTTGCAGGGGGCTGGGGGCCCTCAGGCCGCACGGGTGGCAGACACCCGGGGACCCCCACACATACTCAGAGACCCCCACATAAGCACAGCCGGGCCTGGACAGGCACTCCACACACACGCGCACCTGGAAGCCAGGCACGAACCCACCAGAAATGCAAGACCCTGGTTGGGTCTGGGAGACAGAGGCAAGGGAGTCAGGGAAGGCTTCCTCTGGTCAAAACACACACATGGCAAAGAGGAGAGAGACAATGAGGGGGAGTCTTGCGGAAGGCTGGAACAGCAGGTGCAAAGGCCCTGTGGCAGGAATGTGTTTGGAGAGTTCCAGGAACAGGAAGGTGCCTGGTGGGGAGGGGAGGGCCCCGCAGCGCACGGTAAGCCAGGGGCGGGGACGAGACAAGACCAGAGACAGACAGGCAGACGCAGCATCTCCGCCCCACGCCCCTGCAGACGGGCTTCCCTCACCCAACAGGGAACAAAGAATCTACTTAGCCCGGTGAAGACACGCCCAAATGTATGGCTGCAAAATTCGGTGCTTGCTCCCTTCCTCATTTCTTTCACCACATTCTCCCCCGACAGGGCGTACACACGCATGCGTGCTCGCGCACCGTGCCCCTCCCCCAGCCCCGGGACAGCGCCATCAGGGGGACCCCCAGAGCTTCCTCCCAAGCACCCTCCTGCCCCACCCCGCTTTCCGCGCTAGAGCCCCGGGCTCCCCAGCCCTGAGCTGGAAGGCTCCTGGCAGCCCAGAGGGGCAGAGGCAGCGCCCGGGCTCCCACGCGCGTCAGTCTGTGGGTCTGGGCTGGTGTCGCGGAACGTGGCCAGGGGACAGCCCCAGCGCGGGGAGGACAATGGGGGGGCAGGGTGCTGCGGCTGCCCCCCCCCACGCGGGCTCCCCGCCCCCAGCTCGCGGTCCATCTGGACCAGAGCCGGTGCCAGGAGCATCCTGCATCCCGCCGTCTCCATGGGAACCAGGGCCTCAGCCACCCGCCCACCCGCGCCCTCAGACCTGCGTGGGCTGAGAGCTGTCCCTTGGCCTGCGGGGGTGACAGCCAAGCGCAGCCCAACCCGAGCCCCCCAGCCTCACACCTCACACGTGTGCGCGCGGGCGCCCGCGTGCTCGGGCGGGCAGGCGCTGGCGCTCACGTGTGTGCGCGGGGCAGCCACGTGCACGCGCACACCCACACTGGCGCAGGCGCGTGGCGTGCACAGGTGGTCGCCGGTGTTCGCACCGCTGGGCGGGCACGCACGCACCCAGTGCCCGCGGCACCCGGCGGCGGGACCAGCCAGGCCAGCCGAGCTGCGCTGCCCGCCTGGGGAGGCCACCGTGGGAGGCTCGGGCTGGCCTCGCTGAGTCAGCCCCAGGGAGCCGCAGGGACAGCATGGGGCCGGCGGGGGAGGGCCCGCCCACTGTCCCCCGTGGGGCAAGCATTGACCTCCCCGCCCCTCAGTGTGAGTTCCTGTTCCCGGACTCCCCGTCTAGAAAGAGCCCCTCCTGCCCTGGCCCCGCGCCTGGCGTCCCCGCTCCTCACCTGGCCACCACCTCGTCGTCCACCTTCACCAGGCAGTAGGGGTCACTGCTCCCGGACCTGCGGGAGGAGGGTCGGGAGGAGCGGGGTTGAGAGGGCAGTGACGGGCGGGCCGATCCACCTTTATCGCACAGACAGGGGAAGCCCTGGCCCAGAGAGGGGAGGGCACTTGCCCAGGGTCACACAGCAAGTCCAGCTGAGAGGCAGCACTTCGGGGCCAGCGGGTGCCGTCAGGGCTGCCCAGGTTCCCGCCCAGGGCACGCGTGCCCCACCGCCTGTGTGCACGCTCAGCTTGCACCCACGGCACGCCCCCTGGGCGTGCAACCTGGGCAAGTCCCCTGCCCTCGCTGGACCTCGGTTTCCCGCTCTATAAATCAGGCATAATATTGCCACCTCCTGGGGTGGAGGAACTAGCAGTTCGAGGCGGGTGGAGACCCGAGCTCTCCCCCTGTCACCCTCTGGGGTAAGCACTGCCCCCAACTTTGCATTTCAGCGGCGGTTTCCCTGGGGAGGGGACTCCCCCTTCCTCAGAAGACTCTCTCCTGCAGGAACAGCCCGGGGGACCCAGACCTCAAAACTGAGCCAAGGAGAGATGTGCTGCACCCCCCCCCCAGCAGCCATGAGCCACTGGCCAACCAAAGCCACCCCCATCCTCCCTGCATAGTGGCAGTCACCAGTACGTCCCCACGCAGTCTAGCGGGACCCCTCAGTTTCTCCCCCATCCCATCGCACAGGCCTCCTCTGTCTCTCATCAAGCTCTTGCCTGCCCCAGGGCCTTTGCACGTGCTGTTCCCACTGCCTAAGACACTCTGTCCCTGATCGTGTCATGGCTTCTTCCTGTCATTCACATCTCAGTCCAAAAGTCACCTCCTCAAAGACGCCACTCCAGACTGCTGTCCTGTCCCCAACCCCTCTGACCACCTAAAATCACCTTGCTCCCCGATTTCTCCATGTGTTCCATGTCTGTCTCCCCACCTGTCTGCAACTCCTGAACTGCGAGCTCCTTGGGGGAGAGTGCGTGTCCTCCTCCTCCCTCCGGGCCCCCACCCGGCATGCAGGTGGCCTCAGAGATGTTTCTGAGTGAGCGGGTTTGTGGGGTGCCTTCTCTGCCCCAGGGAGGAATGGCGGCTTATGGGGCTCGCAGACACACTCTGAACCAGTGCCCCCCGCCCCGTCTAAACAGCCCCCAGCCGCCACTCCCTCCCTCTCTGCCACCTGCTCTCTGTTCGGTTTGTCACAGATGCACAAATGCCTTAGGGATTCCAGGGAAGAGGGATGGTGGCACTAAGAATCAGCTCCAACCTGAACCTTGTCTGGCTAGATGAGCCCCTCCTTGTGCCTCAGTTTCCCTCTCTGGACTCCTTCCTGTAGCCCCGTCTGGCTAGTGCTGATGCCTCCATTTCCCTATCTGCTTTCTATCCCTGAGCACTTCAGACTAAGAGATAGCCTGAGTCTCCGTGTTCCCTTCTGGGCTCCGCCTCTGAACCCGGGTCTGTGTAGTGCCCCACGCCTCAGTTTCCCCTTCTGGCTCTATCCCAACCCCCCTGGACTGGGCAACCCCAGGAGCCTCGGTCTCCCTCTCTGGGCCCAGCCTTGGACACCTGTGGCTGGGAACTCCCTGTGTGTGTCGCAGTCTCTCCCTCCGTGCTCTCCAGCCCTGAGCTTCCTTTAGGAAGGCCCCCACGCCTCAGTTTCCCCAACTGCAGAGGTGGGCTCAGATTGGCCGGGATCCCACTAGCAAAGGGCTGGGAGACACGGCCCTGCTGTGCACCGGCCTGACCCCCAGGCCCCATGGGAGCCACGCTCAGCGCTAGTCAGCTCCAGGCTCTGACGCATGAGGGCCTTATCAGCGCCTATCAGGTAGGGGCAGTGGTGGCGGGACCGGACGGGGTGGCCCCTTCCAGCCCCCAGATCTCTCTAGGCTCTTGGCCTCTCCCACGGCCCCTGCCTCAGCTCAAGCCTGGGAACGCAGCCCCGGCGACACAGCCATCGCCTGCCCAGTCGGGTTTGTGCACGGAAGCAGCCAGGGTTCAGATCCTACCTGTGTGACCTCACCAAGTCACTTTGCCCCTCTGGTCCTCAGTTTCCCGCTAGCAAGGCGAAGAGGCCAGTGGGACCACAGGAGGAGTTAAGCACAGGACCTGGTGCGGACCAAGCCCTCAAGGACTGACGGTGGCTGCTGTTATTGATAATAGTAATGACGCTAAGTTCTCTGCGGGGGCCGCCTCCCAGACCCCTCTCAGACGCGGCAGTGGTTTGCGCAGTGTCTGCGCCCTTTCCCTTGGGACAGGGGAGCCAGAACACCCCCCCCACCAGGAGCCCTCACAGGCATGGGGATCCCGGCGTGCTCTGAGAAGAGTCCCTTTGAAGAACGGTGCCAACAGCCGGGGAAACTGAGGCAGGGTGGCTCGATCCCGACCCTTGCCCTGGGGCGTGGCCCACCTCATAGCTCACCCTGGCCCAGGAACTGGGCACGGGAGGGATAGGACGAGGGACGACCCAACTCCCTTCTCAGGAGAAGCACAAGGAGCTCTGTGAGCCAGGCCCAGGGTGACGCCTGCCACCCCTCCGACCCCTCATCCAGAACTGGGGCAGGGCCAGAGCTCAGGGAGGTGGGGACCCAGTTTCTGGAAAGGGCCCTTCGGCCATGCAGCTGCCAGGCCCCACCCGGCCGGCGTTTCCCTGACAGCTGCGGAATCTCTGTTCTCGGGGCTCTGGGGACATCTCAGGAAAGAGGAGGCAGGGCCCGGGGCTGTACTGGCACAGCCAGCTCTGCTTGTGTTTCAGGTGCGTGTTTATTTGGGGTGGCTCATGAGGCTTGGGGGGTGGCAAAAGCTGCCCTGAACAGCTCCCCTGCGACACAGCTGCAGCTTGGGAAGGGGCGCTTGAGAAGCCAAGGGCGGGACTGTCCTAGCGGGGCGCTCGCAGCCCGCCGGGTTGGCACATGGCTAAGCCCCAGCCTCAGCCTCCACGTCCCTGCCCCCCATGGCCACAGGGCAGACCCCAGCAGGTGCCCCACCCCCACAGCTGGATGTGTGACCCCAGGGATCCAGCCGGTGACCCGGTGCAGAGCTCCATTGCCCACATGGAAACCAAGGCCCAGGGAGAAGCAGGTTCAAGGTCACAGGGCAAATGTCCTTCCAAGGATCCCACACCTGTCTCAGGTACTGACACCCTCAGAGCCCCTTCCGGGCACCAGGCCAAGCAGGAGGGGGACACCCCCCCCTTTTTGTTGTTTCGGCGGTTGTTGCTTCGGCCCGGGGGGCGGCCCGGCCGGGGGGTTGGGGTGGGGGCGGCCCAGGGTTCCCGTTCCGGCCCCCCTTGGTTGGGGGGGGGTTGCGGGGGGGGGTTTTCGGGGCGGTTCGGGGAGGGCCCGGTTGGGTTGGGGGCGGCTTTTTTGGGCGCTTGGGGAAGTGGGTGAACAGGACCCCAGAGGGCCACCTGGCGACACTCTGCAAACCTAAACGCCAGATGCACACAGAATGCCGGGGCCCATCTGGACCCCGGGCTCTCTGGGGCTCCTCCCCGGGGTTCCCCTCCTAGGGCCGCACCCGGCCGGAGAAGCCTCCCCTCCCACGCGCCTGGACTAAGGAAGAGTCCCCAAACCCTCCCAGCTCTGACCCTCCAGCCCCCTCTTGGCCCCGAGACCCCTTAAGTGCATCCCGGGAACAAAGAGCCCTGGCTGGGGGCGGGCAGGGCATCTGCTAAGGGTGGGCGCCCCTCCCACCAGGGCGGCCGTGAGCACGGGGCTCTGGCCCGAGGAAGGGGACCTGCCCCACGCCCTCCCGCCCCCGGGGCGCCCCAGGCGCACTCACACGTCCTTGGCGGGCAGTGCCCGGCCCTCCACCACGCGGACGCTCAGGGAGCTGCTCTTGGCCATGGCGCGCAGCCCCAAACTTTCCGGGTAGAAGGGCGCCCAGGTTCCGAGGCCGGACCGGGGACGCCTACATGTCACCAGCTTCGAGCCTGGCGCCCTTCCCTGGGGTCTTGGCGACACACCTGTCCGAGACGCGGGTAGCTGGACGGGAGGTTCCCGAAGGACGGGCAGGGATAGGCGCGAGGAGGGGGCGCCCGCCGGGCTCCACAGGTAGGAGCGGGGCCCCAGCAGGCGGACCGCGCAGGGGACACCGCGGGCTCTCGCCTGTGCGACTGGAGAGCCCGGCGGGCGGGCTGGACTGGCTGGGCGGGCAGGGGGCGGGAGGGGCGGCCCAGGGCCCTCCCCCCAATCCCGCCTCCCGCGGGGTCCCCGCCCGCCCCCGGGCCCCTCGCGCGCCCTCTGCCGGCACCCCAGCTCGCGCGGCGGAGAGGGGCGCACGGGCGCACGGGCGCGGCCGCTGGCTTCTGGCGAGCTGGCACTGGGCTCGCGAGCCCGCCTGTCCCCCGCCCGTCCCCATCCAACCCACTCACCCTCTCGCCCCTGCCCTGCCGACCATCTAGGCACCGCCTCCCCGTGCGCGCGCGACCTCGGGCGCGTCGCTAGAGGGAGTCGCGCGTCCCTGGGGTCCCTCCAGCAGCAAGGGAGGGGCCTGGACCATCCTTCGCGTCTCCTCTGAGTTTCCGCCGACACGCAGCCTGGAGCGCGGCGCGCGCGTCACTGCGGGGGAGGGAGCCGGCCGCAGGGGGAGGGGAAGGCTTGCGGGTCACGGCCGCTCCAGCGACCGCAGAAAGTCCTCTGGGGCGTTGGGTGGCTCGCTGCGCGCCGGGCACTGTTCTTCCAAGCGCTCTGCGAGGATCGGCTCACTCCCGTCCTCACGGTCGCCGCGCGCTGGGCATTCAGAGTTACCCCCATTTTATAGATGAAGAAACTGAGGTTCAGAGGGGTCCGGGGACTTGGCGGAGGTCTCACAGCTCAGTGATCCGCCTTCCTGGGTTTTAATCTCGACTCTGCCGTTTGACGCCTGTGTGGACCTGGGCAAGTCGCTTAACCTCTCTGTGCCTTGATCCGGCTTTCTCGCCTGGTGGGTGGGATGAGGTGGTTGGTATCTCACTCACCGGGATTTCAAAAGAATTGAATGAGATTAGGAAAGGTAAAGTTCTCAGAACAGTGGCGGACACCCAGTGAGCTTTCAGAGCGTGTTTGCTATTGTGGTTGTTGTCCTTCAAGGTGTGGCTCACATGTCACCTCTCCCGGGAAGCCTTCCAGGATGCCCTTCCACCCCAGGCAGAGATTTGCTTTTCTTTTTCTCTGCTCCTGCAGCTTCAAGTTTGAATACTTTTCGAGTTTTAAATGAGATGATGTGGACAGGAAGGGGCCTGTGGCACAACAGATGTTTGCACGCGCTTATTTCTCCCTGGGAGTTTGTCGTGTACCTGCCGAAAAGCTCTGGCTCGGGGCCTGCCCCGCTCTGGCCAGCTCAGGCCTGGGCGCCAATGGGAATGGGCGCGGAATGAGTGCAGGAGCCCACGCCCAGACCGGCGGGACCGGGAGTGCCCCGCCCTAGGAGCAGCCCAATGTTCTGCTTCCCAATCTTCCTCCTCAACTCCCCACCCAGCACCAGGCCAGGCTGGGGATGGATTCAGGGCCCCAGAATTCTCTTCTTCGCTGGTGGCTACCTAGTTGAGCCCCCTGGTGCCCCCAGAGACTGGGCCTCAGTTATCCCCATCTGAGAAATGGGTCTAGCAGAACAGGCCCCAAGTGTTAGGAGTATTGCAGCGTCTCTGCCAGGGTATGAGGGGTGATCCAGGGTTAGGTACGGAACAGTGATCACCCCGAAGGGGTAGTTAAACCCCCTCCACGGTGATCTTTACCAGTCACTCCAGATCCTCTCCGAAGTCACTGTACAATGTAAGGGAGAAATGATGCTTGCCATGTAACTGCAGCTTCAAGAGAGGTTTCCTAAACCCTACATGCAGCCCCACACTGTCAGGGCGGGGAGCTTCTAGTTGAAACTTTTTCTTCTAGAAGCCTGCGGAGACCTCAGACAGGCCACCCAGACCCCTGGGACCGGACGACGGGGCCTGAGGGGCCTAGTCCTGAAGCCTGGTGGAAGGACAGCCAAACTGCCACCCAGCCCTCTTGGCCCACCCCCCAGAGCTAAGCAGGAAGTCACATTCCCAAACACCCCTCCCCAGCCGCCTGGGGGAATCACCGAGGCTATGGCCCGTGCCAGCCCAGCCTCCAGGGAGCCAGCTCTGTCACCTGTCCCATATCCGGTGTCTGACCCCACAGTTCACCTGGGGCAGGCGCCATTCCTCAGACTTTGCACGTGGCCCGGCCACTTCCTGTTGCTCTGAGAGGCTTTGACCTGAAACTAGCAGGGGGGGGAGGTCTCACAGGGCCGTCCCTGTCAAGGGACAAAGGGGGAAAAGGCAGCTCAGAGAGGGTGTGACCTGCTGGGGCCACTCAGCTACAAGAGGGGCAGGCCCATTCTTCTCCCGGGTTGTTATGAGAATCAGTCATGAGGGCGCAGTGTAGGACACCTGGCATCGTTCTTGGCACATAGTAGGTGCTCAATAAATCGTCAGCCCCTTCTCCCTAAGCTCCTTAAAGGCAAACGCATGATCATCTTTTTGCCAACATATATACTCCACATGTCCCCTACATAGTCTAGCCCCATGGAATGCACACAGCAGGCGCTTCATAAAGCCTTAAGTGGAAGGAAATGCTGAGCTCAGGGTGTCCGAGCAGAAGTTTCAGAGTCAGGCTGGCCTGGGATTGAACCCTGGCACCTACACTTATGAGCCAGTGTTCTTGGGCAAGTGAGTTACCCTTCTCCTCTCCATGCCTCAGTTTCCTCATCTCTAAATCGGGGCTAATGATAGCACCCGTCTCATAGGATGTGTGCAGGGCTGGAAAAAAAATCAACACCAGACCTTTAGCACAGCACGGCATACAGCAAGCACTCAATAAGTGTCATGGCCATCGTGGGACATCCTGGGCCCACCCCTGTGCCTGACACCGAGCCCCATCTGGTGGCCCAGCTCTGAGGCCGGGTCCCGAGGACACAGCCGGGGTGGAACGCCAGGCCCAGCCCCGAGCCCCAGGGATGGAGGAAGGACACACTTCAGTGGCCAGGGCAGTTCCAGATTGCCGAGCCGGGGGAATCCGGGGAATTTCATCCTGGCTGAGAAATCTGATAGACAGATTCCAAGATCAGGGCTCCTGTGCCCCAGTGCCCGGGGCTGGCTGAGTGTCCCCTTCACCTCAGATGCTGGACCCGGGGCCCGGGGAGGGCTCACGGCCACAGAGTAGAGAGGGCCCCTCACGCCAGAGCAGGGACCAGGCTGAGCTTGGGCAGGGGCGCGCTGGAGCCTGCCCGGGAGACCTACCCCGCACAGGCTGTTTAGTGACATCAAGCCTGGGGACTTGAAATTGACTAGGGCAGAATAATTTACACCATGGAAATTGGCAAACCCCACCCCTTTTTCTCCCTGCTCATTGGTGTGTCCTGATGCAGTTGAAGAAAGGTGATGAAGGGTGGCGTGCAATGAAGTGCAGTTATCAATGCAACATCAATGTCACGGGGTACTATACGCCTGTGAAAAAGGATGTTCTCCGACAAGATTTAATGACAGGAAAACACTACACAACACAGGGGTGGGGAAACCATACATACACTCGTATATGCAGTATGACCCTAATGCTGTAAAATATGGATGCATATATAATATTCTTTTTTATTAGTTAACAAATGTGGGCCAAGCCTGGTGGCTCACTCCTGTGAGCCCCAGCATTTTGGGAGGCCGAGGCGGGAGGATCGCTTGAGGCCAGGCGTTCAACACCAGCTTGGGCACCGTAGTGAGATCCTGTCTGTACAAAAAAACAGAACAATTAGCCGGGCATGGTGGTGCACGCCTGTAGTCCCAGCTACTCGGGAGGCTGAGGCAGGAGGATCGCTTGAGCCCAAGGAGCCGCTCCAGGCTGCAGTGAGCTGTGATCGGGCCACTGCACTCCAGCCTGGGCCACGGAGTGAGACTCTGTCTCTAAAATAATAATAATAATAATAATATACACTCGGAGAGCAGAAGAGATGTGAAGATGGCAAGTCGGGAGGGGACACAGCTGGGGCTGGAGCACTTTCTTGCGTCACTGCCTGTGCTTCCTTTATCTATAATCAGAACACAATGCGTGCTGCCTCCGCTTTCCAAAGCACTGGGGTCCTTCCTGCGTGGCTCTGCACGCCGCCTCCAGGAAGCCCTCAGGGAGGGGCAGGGAGGTGGCCGAGCCTTCCCACCAGCCCCCATGCCCCATAGGCACCGCGCTGTGACCTTGGTCTCTTGTCCCCTTGCTCTGTGGCGATTTACATGCTCGCCTTATCTCCTAAATGTCAGGGACAATGTCTGATTCATGCTGCGCCTCCCACACTGCTTGGCGGGAGACTCCACACACACTTGCGGGTTAGGTAGAATCCGCTTCCCCTCTCTCTGCCGATGATGCTCGGTGGGCTGTCCCCTCCGCTCTCCCACCGCGCCTAGGCCGGCAGATCCCTCAGTGTCAGCCCCCACCTGCGCCAGCCCCGCCACCCCAAACCAGGAGGCCGCCTGTGGTCCCCAGGCCTGTGTCCCCTCCTGGCGAGTGGCCCCATGCCTTCCGAGGAGGCCAAGACCGGGCGGGGCAGGGGAGGGCCCGGCTGGGGTGAGGCCTGGGTTCTTTGTCAGGGAACACAAAGCCCCGTTTGTGGCTGCCGGGCACGATTCCGGGCAGGGAGCCACGGGGACAGGAGGCAGCGGTGGGAGGCGCACACGGGCAGGGTTTGCAGGCCCTCCCGCGGGCTGGCTGCCGAGGAAGCAGGCCCCGTGAGTCCCCTCCTCCCCCCCCCCCCCCGGCCTGCAAATGAGGTGTCTGTCTCCCCGCCAGCACCCCCACTTCCTCCTTCCTCAGCCCTGCTCTCCAAAGTGCACCCCACACCCGCCTGGGAATGGAGAAGTAGGAAGGGGGAGGCCGCAGAAGTGAAGCCTCAGATTGGGGGGGGTTGTTTCCAGAGCTGGTTGGTTTGTGACCAAGGGCAAGGTCAGCTGAGAAGTCGTGTCCTGCTGTCACTCAGCACCCAGGAGGCAGGGACAGAGACAGAAAGGAGGCCGAGCTGGCGGGAAACTGGGACTCCTGCCTCGCAGGAGAACTTGGGAGAAGCACCCCATTTAACAGAGGGGAATGCTGAGGCCCGGGGTGGATTGGCTGGCCTTCTGAAGACAGGTGTTGGGGGGTGAGGGTGTTTCTCGTCTCCTTCAAGCCATGAGCAGCCCCAGAGCAGGGATGGGTTGAGTGATCTCTATAAAAACAAACGTCAGTCCTCAGAGGAGTCGTTGAACTCCCCTGGGCCTCGGTTTCCTGTCTGTCACTTTTTAGCAGAGATCTGGCCCCTGCTTGGCTCCATCCAGCCCTGACCTAACCATCATCCTTGAATTCTGCACACCAACCTACGACCAGACCAATGGTTGTTCTCTCCTGGGAGGGGCCACACCCTCCTGCCTCAGGGCCTTTGCACATGCTGTTCCCTCTACCTGGAACACTCTTCCCCTTCTCTACTCAACCCTCCTCATCCTCCGGGTGTGGGCTTACACTTGCTCTCTCAAGACCTCCCTGTCCCACCTCCTTGCTCTCTAGACCTCTCCTGCTAACCCTCTTCATGTATTTGCGGGGTTATTCGATTCCTCTGGCCTCTCCGTTGGCCTCCATTGAGGGCAGGTTTTATCTCGTCCACCACTGTATCTGCGCATCTAGCGCAGCGCCTGGCATAGCGCAGATACTCAGGAAATGCTTGCAAAAACCACCTCTAAAGGAGTAGACATTAACGGCCAGGTGTGGTGGCTCATGTCTGTGATCCTAGCACTCTGGGAGGCCGAGGTGAGAGGATTGCTTGAGGCCAGGAACTCGAGATCAGCCTGAACAAGAGCGAGACCCGTCTCTACCAAAAATAGAAAAATTAGCCGGGCGTGGTGGTGCTTGCCTGTCGTCCCAGCGACTCGGGAGGCTGAGGCAGGAGGATCGCTTGAGCCCAGGAGTTCGAGGCTGCAGTGAGCTGTGATGGTGCCGCTGCACTCCAGCCTGACTGAGACCTTGTCTCTAAAAAAACAGATTTAAATTTTTAAAAAATAGAATAAATGAGATCATAAACCTGATTGCAAATTCACATCAATATATGCAGAAAACAATATGTACAATTTAATGTAAAATGTTCAAAGACAAAAATGTACCTTATTTCAGTTCTATTTTTAAAAATATGTTCTTGCAAAATCCTTAGGAGTTGTTTTAAGCAATGTAGGCATTACAAGTGAGTGTAGATTTTTTTTTTTTTTTTTTTTTTTTACGCTCCAAGGTTCTGCTTGAGTGAGTGTAGATTTTTAAACAGCATTACTCTACAATAAGAAAATATGGGCTGGGCGCGGTGGCTCACGCCTGTAATCCTAGCACTCTGGGAGGCGCAGGCGGGCGGATTGCTCGAGGTCAGGAGTTGGAAACCAGCCTGAGCAAGAGCGAGACCCGCGTCTCTACTATAGAAAGAAATTAATTGGCCAATGATATATATAAAAAAAAAAATTAGCGGGCATCGTGGCGCATGCCTGTAATCCCAGTTACTCGGGAGGCTGAGGCAGGAGGATCCTTGTGAGCCCAGGAGTGAGGTTGCTGTGAGCTTAGGCTGACGCCGACGCACTCACTCTAGCCTGGGCAACAAAGTGAGACTCTGTCTCAAAAAAAAAGAAAAGAAAAGAACATCATGTTTGAGTGGGGAAAAAAATACTTAAAATGGAAAATAAAATGACCTGAAGCAAAGATACCCAGGCGCTGAGGTTTGTAGCTTTCCGAGGATGGGAAAAAGGGACCTTTCACTGAGATACTTTTGCTTTTGAGATAGGGTCTTGCGTATGTTGCCCAGTGCCGGATTTGAACTCCTGGGCCTCAAGCGATCCCTCCTGCCTCAGCCTCCGCTGAGCATGGGCTGGGGACTACGGCGTGCGCCATACCAATGCTCCATGGTTTTTTTTTTTTTTTAAAGAGCAGAGTCTCGCTTTTGTTTGCCGCAGCGCTAAGTGAGTGGCGCGTGGCATCAAGCCTAGCTCACAAGCAACCTCAAACTCCTGGTCAAGCAGTCCTCCCGCTGCTCAGCCTCCCAAGTAGAGTGGCTGGGACTACAGGCATGCGCCACCATGCCCGGCTAATTTTTTCTATATATATTAGTTGGCCAATTAATTTCTTTCTATTTATAGTAGAGCTGGGGTCTCGCTCTTGTTCAGGCTGGTCTCGAACTCCTGACCTCGAACAATCCGCCCGCCTCGGCCTCCCAGAGTGCTAGGGTTACAGGCGTGCGCCACCGCACCTGGCATCCATGGGTAATTTTTATATTACTCTGGGTACTGTTCCCTGGAACCACCACCTGCAGGGCTGGGCTAAGGACTGAGTGAGATGCTATATGCAGGGTGGCGCGCCGAGCACGATGTCTGATCCACAGTAATTGCTTAAACCGCGTCAGCTTCCCCCCTACTCCCAGACCTCACGCGGGGACGTCAGTCCTCCCAAGCTGGCCTCCCCCGGGTGCTAATCGTGGTCTCTGTTTCTGTCCCTAGCCAGGCTGGGGGCTCAAGGGGCAGGGCCAGGGCAGCCCCCTCTCCCGCAGAGGTGGAGCCTCGCAGGTCGGGACACGGTAGGCGGCCAGCACCTTTCCCTGGAGTGGGTGGCCACCCCGCCAGGAAGCGGCTTGGCCCAGCGAGGGGCGCCAACAGGGGCGACGTCTGGCCCCCGGTGTAGATCGGGAGTTAAAGGCTCCTCCCTCCCAGGGAGGGTGGGTCCCCCGGCCGCAGCCTGGCAATGGAATGTTGTGTCGCCGGTTGCCCAGGCAACCAGGGCCTTTGCTCGGCGGCTGCTAGAGTGGGAGCACACTCGCTCGCAGGGGGTCGCCTGGGCTCGTGCAAAGCTCCTGCAACTGCCGGGAGCATGGAGGTGCCCTGGGAGGAGTACGCCCGGCTGGCCTTGCAGGAGAAACTGCCCGCGTGAGTGGGACGCAGGGAGGGCTGCAAGGAGGGCGGCAATGGGTGAGGTGGCCCTTCCCGTCTCACTCGCTGCTGCCCGGGTTCTGGCTTCTCCGGGCAGTTCACGGTGGGGGGTTACTGCCCCCATTTCACAGAGGAAGAAACTGAGGCTGGGAGAGAGATGGTGACTGGGGGGGGGGAGCTCAGGGCTGGTTAGGGCAGAGCCGGGCCAATCATAGCCCGGGTCTCTAACCTGCTGGGGCTCCTCGCCGACATCCCCAGCTGACAGCCAGCTGAGATGAAATCCTTGGAAGCCAGGTGGGAAGGATTATTCCGCAGGTCTCGTGCCCCGGCCGCCCCGCCCCAAGCTGCATTTTGAGGCGGAGCAGAGCACCCTGGCTCTGAGCTCGGCAGGCAAGTGCTGTGTCTCCGCTTGGCTGCGACAGGGAGCTGGCACCCCCCAGCTGCGAGGTCCCGTCTTCCTCACCCCTCCCCACTCATCAGCTCTGCTCTCGCCTCCCCACCGCTACCACCTTGAGCGGAACCCCATTATCTTGGAATCCAGATTCAAACTAAGAAAAAAAAAGAACCCCGTTATCTCTGGAGCATCCCGCCGCCCCCCCTTGGTGTCCCGCGGCTGTCTGCTGTCGTCCTCTCCAGCCACGCTGGCCGCCTTCAGCACGCCCAGCCTCTTCCTGGGGCCTTCGCATTGTCTGTTCCCTTGGCCCCCACTCTGTTCCCTGGAGACCCGCTGTGGCTGGCCGCTCTCCTCTCCCGGGCCTGCGCTCCAATGCTGCTCCTCAGGCTTTCCCGCTCCCTACGGGGAGAGTCCTTTAGGCTGCTTAGATTTTCAACTTGGCGCCTGCCATGTCCTGGCGTCATCAGGAATAGCGAGGAGCTTGAGTTGCTGTGGCCTGGCAGGAGGCCAGCTCGTGGGGGCCGGGTTTCGTCTGTCCCTGTCCCAGCGGCGCCTGCGGTGCCTACAACAGCGCCGGGCACACAGAGGTGCTGCGGTGATGCAGCAGCGCAAGAGCGGAGAGCCCTGCAGCCAGCAGGTGGCCGGCCGAGGGGCACTCCGCACAGCGGGGGGCACAGAGCCTGGCTCGGCTCCCCTCACCCCCACCTCCTCCTCGGGCCCCTCAGGAAGGCGCGGGAGCAGAGCGGGGACCGCTTCCCGCAGGTGCACTTCCTGCGGCTGCTGGACAAGAGGCAGGAGCTGGCGGACGCAGACCGCGGCCTGCGGGCCCAGAAGGAGGTGAGCCCCACAGGGGACAAGGACTTTCCGGGACTCGTGGTGAGCAGAGGGCTGGGAAGTGATGGGGCCGACTTGCTGGCGACAAAGTCTGAGTCAAGTCATTTCTCCACCACGGGGAGCCTTGATTGCCTCGTCGTCAGTCAAACGGGGCCCAGGTGAGACCAGTTGTCGGTGCCAATAAATTCGGGTGCATTGAGCACCGAGTATGTGCCGGCACTGCATTGAGACCTGGAGTGCTCGCCGTGGCCCCTGCCTATGTGGGCACACAGTCTAGACAGGAAAACGGAGAAGTGCCCACGTGGTGGCCGCTATGGGGAAGCGGCACTGGGCAGGGACTGTGGGAGCCCAGAGGAAGCCCTACGTCCACATGGGGGTGGTCAAGGAGGGCTTCCTGGAAGAAGTGGCATCTTGGGGACTGCTGAAGAGCAAGTTGGCTTATCAAGCAGAGCAGGATGGGACAGGAGGGAAATCCTATGCAAGACTAGAAGGCAAGGACAAAACAGGTAGCCGGGCAGCTGGAAGACAGCCCAGGAGGAGAGAGGGTGAGAGGTGGGAAGCGAGGAAGGACAGGGACAGTGGCCTTCAGGGCCTACAGGAGGCGTCTGGGCTTCATCCTCGGGCAATGGGAGCCATGAACGGTTGGAGCAGGGGCGCGGCCCCAGGACCAATGGACGGAGGGGCCAATTGTGAACCTGGGCGCATTGGATGCCTTGAGCCCCCAAACACAGACACCCCGCTCCTCACCCCCAGGTGTTCCAGGCCACCATGGCAGCCCTGAAACGGCGCTGGGAACAGCTGGAACAGAAGGAGCAGGAGCTCAAGGGGTCCTTCGTCCGTTTCAACAAGTTCTTGCAGGTGGGTGCAGACGCTGGGGGCGAGGCAGGCGGTGGCCGACTCCCACTCCCGTGGGGGCCAGGTGGGTCACATGATGAAACAGGCGGGTTTAGTAACACAGAAGGGGCGGCGGGAAGTAAACGCGCCCTGCCTGAGTTTTAAAAGGGGACGTCGGGGTAGGAAGGGGCCGAAATCCGAGACTCTCGCCGAATTTGGCCCGCGGGCTGTGCGCGCGCGTTAGGATGTGAGGGCGGGTGGAGGTGGCGAGTCCTGAGTCCTGCGTGTCGCCGCCTCCCCGCCCTCGCTCCCCAGGACGCTGAGGCCCGGCGCAGCCGCGCGCTGCGGAGGGCGGCGGAGGAGCGGCACCGGGCGGGCCGCCTGGAGGCGGAGGCGCAGCGGCTGCGCGCCCAGCTCGAGGAGCTGCGCCGGGAGCGCGCGCGGCTGCGACGCCGGCTGCGGCGCCTGGAGCCCTGCGCGCGCCTGCTGGAACGAGCGCTGGAGCAGCGGCCCGAGGTGAGGCCTGGGCAGGAGGCCGGGGCTCGGCGCCACCGCGCGGCCTCCGGGACGGCTTAGGATGGGCGCACTACTGGAGCGCTGACTGTATGCCAAGAAGCAGCACTTATTGAGCGCTCCCTGTATGCCACTTTGTTCTTAACTTCCGCCCCTCCCCCCAAAACACACAATGGAGAGAAGCGGGTCCTGTTGTTGTCGACCCTATCTGACAGATGGGGAAACTGAGGATTCAGAAAGCTCTTTCTCGAGGTGACAGACTTAGACTAGTGTTGGCGAGGCAGGGTCCGACACTCGATAAACGTTAGTTGAACGAGTCAGGCATCAGTATGAATCACAGGTGCTGAGGCTCGGCCGGGTTGGTGGGGGAGGGGGAATAGGGGTCGTCCCAGCCCCTGTGACTCCAGTGGTCCCCACCTCCGGGCCGCGCGAAGCCCCCACCTTACAGTTGGGCTGACAGGCAGCGCCGGAGGAGCGTGGGCGGCCAGGTGTGTGGGGGGGGACTGCATGCCCATGTGAGTCCCCACCCCCAGTTCCAGGAGGTCCCTGAGCTGGTGGCGCGCTTCGACGGGCTGGCGGACACGCGGGCGGCGCTGCGGCAGGTGGAGCGCGAGCGGCTGGCCGAGCTGGAGGCGGCGCGGGCGCGGCTGCAGCGGCTGCGGGACGCGGGGCAGGACGAGCTGCTCGCGCTGGGCCAGCGGCGAGCGCAGCTGCACGAGCGCCTGGAGGCGGCGCGGGCGCGCAAGCTGCAGTGGGTGCGGCCCGCCCGGGAGCGAGAGGGCGCAAGAGGGCGCCGCCGCCGGTGGGGAGGGGTGCCAGGGCCGCTGAGCCCAGACGGGGCATCGCTTAGCCCAGAGCGCGGCTGCACCAACGAGGGGGTCTCGGGCACCCGATCGATGGCAGCCGGCACGCGGCTCCCGGACCCGTCTTCTCCAGAGCGCCTGGCTGCACCAGGGCGGTGGGAAGAGGCCCCAGTCCCCTTCGGGCCACGTCCGGCCTTAATCGGGAGGGGCGGGTGTTCTCTAGGAATCCAAGTGGATTCAGATCCAGAACACAGCGGCTGCGAAGACCCTGCTCCTGGGGCGCGCTAGCATGTCAGTGCTCAACCTGTACCAGTTGGTGTGCCAGCATCGGAAGCAGCCACCGGCCCTGGACGTTGAGGACACAGAGGGACAGCTGGAGCAGGCGAGGCCCCCCTTTTTATGTCATCTCCACCCCCCCCCCACTCTCTCTTCAGAAACAGGTGCTTAAAATCCCACCATTATCGACGCTTCTGGGTTAAGCACTGGTTGGCCCCTCATGGTTAGGTTAGATGGCCAGCACCTGGGAGTCCTCGGGTCATCTGGGCTGTGATCGTGATCAGCCCTGTGGCCAGAGGAAAGACACACAGCCCCTGAGTCTCAGGGTCCACTCTTGAGCAGGAAGGCCAGGGTTCATGCCCAGAGTCCCTCTTTTCTCCCGGGATCAAACAGCAGAAACAAGTGGTAAGATCTATAAGAAACTAGGTTAAGATTCTGCTAATTAACCCCTGACCCTCTGATGGACAGGCCTGAACTTCCTCAGGGAGGGTGCGGGTGTGCAGGATTGGGCGGTGGTCTTTCTGCACAAGGGCACCACCAAATGTCACTTTGGCTCAAGTACACCTGGTTTTGTCTCCCTGTTGCCCTGTGTAGAGTGCAGTGGCATCATCAAAGCTCATGGCAGCCTCAACTCCTGGGGCTCAAGCCATCCTCTTGCCTCAGCCTCCTGAGTAGCTGGGACTATAGGCATGTGCCATGATGCCTGGCTAATTTTTCTATTTTTAGTAGAGATGGAGGGGGTCTCTTGCTCTTGTTCAGGCTGGTCTCGAACTCGTGAGCTCAAGCAACCCAGCCAGGCCTCCCAGAGTGCTAGGATTACAGGCGTGAGCCGCCAGGCCGGGCCTGTGTTTTCTACTTGGTCAGGTTTACAAGGTTGTAGAACACGTGATGTAAAATAGAGGGGAGGGGGTTTCAGACTTCAGACACTGGACCTGGACCCTGTAAGAGGTGGAGGGAAAGGAAAGACACCCCATCTTACCCATGACCCAGCCCCAGTCCTGTGCCCAATGCCTGGAATTCCAACCAAATGCCAAGAACTGGGTCACCCAAGCCTGCGTTCACTGACGCCACTGTTCTCCCCAGTGTGGCCCAGGTAACCCGTGGCAGGGACACAGGTTCCGTGGGACGAGGCAAAAGGCAGTCGCTTTTCCATCAACTCTAATCCTGCCGCCGTGTCAGTGCAGGGGTCCCCGCCCTCCGCCTCCTGCAACACTGCAGGGTCGTAACAGCTCCGTTTTCATTGTGTTTTTCCTGTCACCCCAACTTATGACAAGGGGTAACTTCATTTCCATGTCTAGTGGCGATATAAAGTTTCCCTCTCAGATGTTCACGTAAGTGACAATTGTGAGGGGAGCCCCCAGATAGTAACAGTTGTAAGTTCCCCGTCAAGTTCTAGTTCTAGGCATTGGATCTGTGGCATTTGTTAAGTTCATACCAACAGGTAAGTTAAAACTAAAACAAGGAACCCCCCCCCCCAGGAGAAGATGGGACTGGGTCACAAAACGGTGGATGCCACTGATCCAATTAAAAGAAAATGACATCCATGCAAACAGTACTTGCGTGATGGTGCAGGCGACAGCATCTGGAACTCCGTGAGGGGTCTGCTAATCCCCTCGGAGGCCTGGCCTGGGGCTTTTAAGACCCTAACAGTTTGGGATCTGTCACTGCCTCTGGGCACCACCACCATCGTGACTTTAACAGTGACTCTCAGGCGCTGGGATGTGACTTGGCTGTCGGGTCCCCCAGGTGAAGCTGTTCATCCAGGACGTCTCTGCCATGCTGGCCAGCCTTGGCCAGGCCAAGCCTGCAGCCCCAGCCTCCTAGCCCTGCCACAGGTGAGCTTGGGGGGGTCCCCACCTTTCCTGGGGGGGTGTGGGCTGAGTGGCACAGCAGGCCCCTAGTCCTTACCATCACCTGCTCAGGGCAGTGGGGGGGGGCACCACCTCCTGAACGGGACCGACTAGGCCCGGGCAGTGGGGCATGAAACACGCTGGGCTTTGCCAGGTGCTTAGAACAGGGTACATTCCACACTAGTGGTTGGTAAGTAAAAGCACTAGGACCAGCAGGAGGGGTACCTGCTCCCCTGGGCTCCCTCCATCCTGACTCTGCTGGGTGGGGGGCCCACCCGGAGACCCAGCTAGAGGTCAGGCCCTGCCCCACGCCCTCTCGGCCCCCACCCTCTGCTTGAGGCAGGGGCCCCTTGGCCCCGCCTCCTACTCCCTGTATGCTCAGAGCCTCATTTTCCTCACCTGCTGAATGGTGGCGGGACTCAGCCACCAAGTTAGTTGAGCTTTTAGTACCCGGGCCACCAGAAGTGCTCAGTGAAGATTTATTCCATTAACAACTCCATCCCTGGACCCGCGGCGCTCAGGCCGGTGCAGCCGCGACCTCTGAACCCAGAGCACGTGGAAGCAGCAGCAGCTGAGTTGCCAGCTCAGGTCTGGGCCTGCCTGGCTTTGTTGGTGAACTCCTACACACCCTTCACGACCCCGCTCCACTGTCTCTGTCCTAGGCAGCCGCTGCCCTTCTGGGGCCATCCGGCACTCCTTCTCACGGACGGACGAGGGCTCCTGCCGGGAGCGGCCCTGGTGCCCGGCACGCAGCAGCGTGCGGGAAGCGTCTGCTGCTGTCCCCCCGATGGCCGAGCAAGGTGCTGCAGAGCTGGGTCCTGGCCCTCACATCCTCTTCCTCATCTTGCCCTTCTTGGAGGGGGCGCCCCGGCCGAAGGCGCCCTGCCGCAGCTCCTGCGCGCGGCGCCGGTTGCGGGCCGAGAGCTGCTTGAGGCCCCCGCGCTGCAGGAAGCGCAGCTTCTGCGTCCTTCGCCGCTGCTTCAGGATCTGCTGTTTGGTCTTGAGCTCTGAGCGCACGCGGCCTGCAGGGGTGCCGGGGGTGCGGGGCTGGGACGCACCTGCCGAGAGAGTCCGGGAGCTTAGCCTGGGGGGCAGCTCCTGAGGTGGCCTCCACCCAGAAGCTCCTAGACTGTTCCCCTGCATCTGTATACAGTGAGAGGCTAATAAAGACCTAGGGAGTCTACTGTAGTGGTCAGTAGCGTGGGACCTCAGGCCAGAAGTGCTGGGGTTCAAGCCCCAGCTGTGACTTCTTAGATTCTGGGCATGTCACTCAACTGCTCTGGGCCTCAGTTTCCCCATATGTGAATTATGAATAATCCACCTACCTTGTTGGTGCTCAGAACACAGGCTGGCCCTTAGTAAGAGCCTCTTACACCAATTATCCAACAAATGTATAGTGAGCACCTACTGGATGCCAGGCTCTGGGGCCCCAGCAGTGACCAAGACAGACCTCAATCTCTGCCTACATGGACTGCAGGCTCTAGAGGCCAGAGAGGGGGAGGGACTTCTCTGAGGACACACAGCAAAGGGGCAGCAGCAGAGGAAAACAGCTCTGCCCCAGCCAGACAAGCAGGTGTCAGCACAGCCTGTTCTTCCAGCCTCCCTGGTGCCACTAATCCCTGTGTCATCCTCCTCCTCCTCCATGCTCCCTGTCCCCAACAGCTGCCTCCCAGGCCAGTGACCACTGAGGCGGCCCCAAATATCTCCACTGGAGCCAGACACCTGCCAGGGACCCACCACCTCCACTGAGAACAGAGCACAGGAGAAAACGCCTGCTTCTGCCCCCTGCACGGCAGTGCTGTGTCACCCAGGTAGAAACGGGGGCTGACAAGTGAGCTGTCAGTGGGGGCAGGGACAGAAAAAGGCACCAAGAGGGAAACAGATTGGAGAGAGGGACAGAGTCAGACATGGAGAGAGACGTAGAAAGTCAAGGACGGAGGGAAGGAGTGATGCTGCCCAGGAAACACGTCCACCCAGGAGAGAACTGGCAGGGGATGGCAAAAGGAAATCAGAACAGGTCCCACGCTAAAGGACAAAGACAGAGGCAGTGACCAGCCCCAGGGTGGCCCAAGAGAGCCCAGGGCACGGTCCCAAACTCCCTCTCCCCAGCAAAAGCCCCAGGTGGGTCGTGGCAGGCAGCTGGGTGACCCAGATTCAGTCACTGCCCTCGTGAGCCACCTCGGTTTCCCTGCCTGTAAATGGGTACTCTCAGTCTTCTCGCCCCCAAGGTCACATATGGCACGTCTAGGACAGAGCCTGCCCCCACCCAGCAAGTGAGAGCCCTTCCCTGACAGCAAGCTTGCAGTGGGGGGCAGTGGGAGGAGCTGCAGTGTCCCCCCTTCAGCATACATCAAAGGGTGTTAACTGGGGGGGGGGTCGCTGCACATGGGCTTTGGCAACCCACACCCCGAGGAAGATCCTTCCTCAGTCTCCCCAGCAATCACCTCCTCCTAGAGCCAGGGCTGCCCTCCCACTGCCAGCTTGTGCAACATGAACTTCCCTGCGGCCTCACTGAAACCCCCCCGCCCCGCCCCCAGTGCGTCCGCAGAGAACCCTTCCATGCTCACTTCCTGCCAGGTCAAACCATGTGCCACTGCCATTTGGCAGGCAAGAAATGGCCCATAGCAGCACTGGCGCAAGGTCCCCCCCACGCGTTCCCTAGGCTTTTGGACAACGAACTGCAATAGGTGAGCTGGTCATCTCCCACAAGTTTTCTATCCCACCCGTGAAGTGGGAGCGGTCAGGGCCATGCACCTGAGGCTCGGGCCGCCCAGTGCCTGTCAGGTGGCGCTAGTGACCATCAGAGGCCAGGCGAAGTCCACTGAGGGACAGCGGAAGGGGGAACCTGGGTGTGTGCATGTGAGAGGGACCCAGGGCTCTGACACCGTCGACTCCAACAGACCCAGGTCTAGGGCCGCACGACAGCCCCCGCACCCCTCCGCCCCGGCTGTTCTCTAACCCCACCTGCCCTGCCCACCTGCATGCCCACCCTGGCTCTCACCTTGGCCGCGGCCTCGCTTCCCGCCTCTTCGCTCTGGGCCTCTCCGATCAGATGCCCCTTCCTCCTCCGAGTCACGGTCATCAATTTTCTGTTTCTGTTTCCACTTTTGGTAGCTGGGAAGCCGGGTTAAGAAAGCTGCCCGTGGAGTCGCGAAGCCCCTGGGCTGCGAGCAGGCCCCGCCCCCTCCCGCCCAAGCGCCTCCAGGTCCCACCTACGGAGAGCTACGGAGAGCCCCTACGGAGAGCCCCGAAGCCGGGAGGGCGGGCCCCGTCCCTCTTAGTAGCGCTGTGCACGAGGAAGCCGCTCGCCCCGCCCCCTCCAGGCCCCGCCCCCAGCAGACTCGAGTCTCTTATTGGAGCTGAAGGCGCCCGCCCCGCCCCCTCCGGGCCCCGCCCCTAGCAGACTCGAGTCCCACTTATTGGAGCTGCCGAAGCCATTGGGCCCCGCTCTCCCCACCCTGCCCCTCTGGATACAGGTCACGCTTGTATGAGCTGCTGATGTAGCGGCCGCTCTCGGTCTTGATCTTCTTCTTGTCCTCCTGTCCTGACTGTCCCACGAACCGCTTCTTCTTCCGGTCCCTGCGGGAGAGGGAGTTAGGAGGGCTGCCGAGGGGGCTTAGGTGCGTCTCGGGGCCTGTTTCCTCGCCTGACCTCACTGGGTTGCTGGAGTATTGAAGCGTGCGTCTGGCACGCAGGTGGCGCTCAATAAACGTCTGTTTCCTCTCTCTCCTCACCTTTCCCTGGCAGTCTGGGTCTCTAGAGAGACAGTGGGGTCAGGGGGTTGGCACCAGCACTGGGACCGTGGCTCAGGGCCAAGGGTCTCCGGCAGGGTTTCTGATCCCCTGCCACTTCCTGGCTCCGTGACCCTGGGATCGTCCCATCACTTCTCTGGACTCTGGGGCCCTCATGAGCACACTGGGTCAGGAGCCCTGTCTAGCAAGACCTACTGCAGAAAGGACAGGCAGGGTCAAGATCAAAGCAAGGGGCCAGGACAGGCACAGGATCACCCTGCCCAGTGTCACCCGGGAGGAGGCTCTCGGGGGCCACCCTGGCTGCTGGGCGGGCAGTGGAAGGGGCCGTGGGCTCACTTGCGCACTCACCACTTGAGCTGCTGCCGGCCCCTGGTCAGGTTCTGTGCTTCGTCCCCCATGAGGTCCAGGACGGCCCCGGCCACCTGCTGCTCGAAGGTGCCCCCATCACCACCAATGCTCAGGCTGCAGAGGGAGGGTGGGGAGACCAGACTGGTTTAATGGGGACCCAGTGGGCCCCACTTGCCCCGCCCGGAACGCAGCCGGCCACTCACCCCCGCTCGCTGTCGAAGTCCTTGGGCCGGTAGGGGACGTAGAACTCCTGGTCCCGCTGCTGGGCCTCCTCCCTCCGCCTCTTGGCTCTCCTGCTGGGTCCCGGCTGCTGCCGCTTCCTGCCCAAGACCTCTGCGAAGACGTCCTGGCAGACCAAGGCCCAGAGTCACGCCTGCAGGCCCTGGGGCGCCCCCAGTCTCCCCGCCCACAGCCCAGCCCCTGCCTCAACGACCAGCAGGGCAGGAGGGATGGGTGGGGCGAGGTGCCAGCCGGGGTGAGACCTGTGCTCTACAGTAGTGCCACCTCAGTCCCCCAGTTGTGTGACTGAGGCAAGGCCCTGCCCCTCAGGGCCTGGCCCGCTCTATAGTATGAGTCTTCAACTAAGCTTTTTGGCTACTAAACCCTCTGTCCCAGTGAGACACACGAGAGGGACACACTGGTGGACGCGCAGGCCCCGGACTCCCCTGCCAGGCGGATGGGACACTTCACGGTCCCCCAGCCCTGCCTCCCGGCCCCGAGGCCCAGGCCTGACACTGCCCTCATCATGGCCTGGCCGCTGCCAACCTTCCCTCCTCTGCCCTTCTGCCTGCCCCCACCTCAGGCGGGGACTGACGCTGCCACAGCTGACGCTGCCAGGCGCCTGCGGGACTCAGCACACGCTGGGCCCTGCGTCTGTGCCGGCCACGAGGCAGGAGCCGCAGCCTCTGGGCTGCAGTGCGCCAGTCCACACAGCCTGGAAACGAACTTTCCCGAAATTCACCCAATGTCAAAATCCCACCTCAGCCAATGGGGGCTACCCAGCCTGTGTGGCCCCGCGGTCTGGCTGCGGGGCCCGATGTGTCTGATGGCTCGTGACACCCAGACCCCACTGAGGGCATGTCACACGCAGTGCCTGCACGCTAGAGGGCCGAAACCCAAACTCATCAGCAGCAGGCTGTCGATGAGGGACGGTGGGCGAGTACCACGGCCGCGCCCTGCAGACGGGGACGTGGGGGCTGTCACCGCGTCCACCCCATCCGCCACTCACAGCCCCAGTACAGCCCGCGGGCTGCTAGGACTCACGCCACCCCTCCCCCACCCTAGGTCCAGGGTCCCCGGGGCAGGGCCTGTACCTCCACATTCTCTCCTTCCTCCCCCTCCTCCTCCGGCTGCTCCTCCTGCGGTGCCGGACGGCTTGGGGCTGGGCCCACCGGCCCCTCCTGTCGCCCCTGCTGGAACCTGGTGATGGCCTTGCGGTCCCTCTGCCGCTTGGCGCGCATCACCTGGCTGCTCAGGTCCCGGCTGGAGGCGTTGATCTCAAAGATGGTCTGTGGAGGGGACACCCAAGTCCTCTGTCCGATGGCTCCTGCCCCAACCACCCTCCCCCACGGTGGGCTAATGGCCACTCCTCCCCAAATCTTCCCCACCGTCCGAGCTGGGCACTCTCATTATCTGCACTTCAGACAGACCCAGAGAGGGCGAGTCATCTGCCCAAAGGCACACAGCCAGGGAAAGCCCGAGCGTATCAACCCGTCTGAGTCTGAACGCGCTCGACACTCCCACTCCTGTTTTGTTCCTAGCCGGCTGGCAGGCTGGCTGGTCCTGGGCAGGTCTCCCTTTGCTTTTGTGCACCCCCTCCCACATGCACAAGACGGGGTGCCCAGTGGGAGCCAAGAGGTGAGACAGAGGTAAGAAAGTTCTGGAAAGCCAGCTCCTCAGGCCGCTAGCAGGCCTCGAGAATGTCACTTCCCTCGGTGAGCAGTCCCTAAGTGTAGGCAATGGCTGCGCCACTGGACCTGCCACTGACCAGCAGGGAAGCTTCCAGAAAACAAGGCATCTCTGGAGGCGCTGCCAACGCCGTGGGCACAGGTAAAGGCACTGCAAGCTCACGTGAAAATCCCCGGCAGGCCGGGAGAGCAACCCGAGTGCCGGCACCACGCTGCCCCTGTGGGACCGTGGCCTGCCAGCTGCCACCTCTAGGCTGTCGCCGCCCGGCGCCCGCTCACCGCCCGGCGCCCACTCACCGCGCGCGAGCGGTAGCTGCGGATGCGGTCCACCAGCTTCAGCCGCTGCAGCTCGTCCTCCCGGAAGCGTGAGCCTGGGGGCGGGGGGTGTGAGGCGGGCACGGTGGGCGCCCCGGGGCCCGCCCGCCACCCCCTGCCCGCAGACACTCACTGAAGAGGGGGTGCAGGCCCAGCCCTGCCAGGTCCAGCTCCTTGGCCCTCTTGATGGACTCGGGCGCGGGCGCGGGCCGCGAGCGCAGGTACTGCTGCTGGGCGTTGTCGGCCACGCGGGCCAGGCCGCGCAGCTCCAGCGACCGCTCCAGGCTGCTCTGCAGGCCGCCGTCCTCCTCGTCCACCACGCTCTGCGGCACCCGGCCCAGCACGCCGTCCACGCCCAGCGAGCCTGCGCCACACGGGCCGGTCAGAAGCTGCCCGCCGCCGCCCACCCGCCTGGGCCCATCCTGGGCTCCCAACTGCAGGAAGACGCCTCGCATGACAACTGTCCCTTATTGGGCAGACACTGCGGCCAGACAGCGACCGAGCGCATCCGCCCACAGGCGGGGACAGCTTCTGTGAGTGACGTTCCTTGGGCACGTGGCTCGTCCACACGGCGGGGCACACGCTCCGGGCAGCAGCTACCTCTGGCCTGGAGCCCACGTCCTGCTTCCTGCCTGTCACCCGGCCCGCCCCTGGGGCTGGGACAGGGGCCTCCTGGCACGCCCCTCCCCCACATTTGGCCCCAGCACTCTCTCCTTTGCCCCCAGGGAAGCCCCTGGAACTCGATCTTCAAGCCTCCACTTCCAGCCTCCAGCTCCAGTGACCCCACATGAGCCCCTACCCACCCTCAGCCCCTCCCATGCCCTCCTGCCGACCCTAGACTGTTCCTGCCGCAGCGTCTGCTTCCAACCTGCCTCCAGGCACAGGGGAGCCCGAGCACGGACACTGGGCCCTCAGTCACCTTAGGGAGCCACAGCCGGGATAGTGAATGCTACTGGCAGCCAAGAGGGAGCGGCGGTGGGG